CCCATGGACAATATCCTCCAGGCCTTCCTGTCCTCCACCATTCCCCGCAGTCCACTTAAGCTCATGCCGATTGCTTCAGTGACTCCGTCTAGCCACCTCATTCTCTGCTGTCCCCTCCTTCTTTTGCCATCTATTGTTCCCAGCATTAGGCTCTTCTCCAGGGAGTCCTTCCTTCTCATTAGATGGCCAAAGTATTTGAGTTTCACCTTCACTATCTGGCCTTCTAAAGAGCAGTCAGGGTTGATCTCCTCTAGGACTGACCGGTTTGATCGCCTTGTGGTCCAAGGGACTCGCAGGAGTCTCCTCCAGCACCACAATTCAAAGGCCTCAATCCTTTGACGCTCAGCCTTCCTTATGGTCCAGCTTTCACAGCCATGCATTGTAACTGGAAAAACCATCGCCTTGACTATACGCACTTTTGTTGGCAGGGTGATGTCTCTTCTTTTTAGTATGCTGTCTAGATTTGCCATAGCTTTCCTCCCAAGGAGCAGGTGTCTCTTAATTTCTTGGCTGTAGTCCCTGTCTGCAGTGATCTTGGAGCCCAGGAAAATAAAATCTGTCTCTACCTTCATTTCCTCCCCCATCTATTTGCCAGAAAGTGAGAGGACCAGATGCCATGATCTTAGTTTTCTTAATGTTGAGTTTCAAGCCAACTTTTGCACTCTCCTTCACCCACATCAGGATGCTCTTTAATTTCACTTTCTGCCATGAGAGTGGTATCATCTGCATATCTGAGGTTGTTGATATTTCTCCCGGCAATCTTAATTCCAATTTGTGATTCATCTAGCCCTGCCTTTCTCATGATATGCTCTGCATATAAGTTAAATAGGCAGGGCGACAGTATACAGCCTTGCCGAACTCCTTTCTCAATTTTGAACCAATCAGTGGTTCCGTGTCCAGTTCTCACTGTTGCTTCTTGACCTGCATATCAGTCTCTCAAGAGACAAATAAGATGGTCTGGTACTCCCATCTCTTTAAGAACTTGCCACAATTTGTTGTGATCCACACAATCAGAGGCTTTAGCATAGTCAATGAAGCAGAAGTAGATGTTTTTCTGGAACTCCCTAGCCTTCTCCATGATCCAGCGTATGTTGGCAGTTTGATCTCTACTTCCTCTGCCTCTTTGAAATCCTGCCTGTACTTCTGGTAGTTCTCGGTCCACATACTGCTGGAGCCTCGCTTGTAGGATTTTGAGCATCACTTTGCTAGCATGTGAAATAAGTGCAATGGTGCGGTAGTTTGAACATTCTTTGGCATTGTCCTTCTTTGGGATCAGAATGTAAACTGACCTTTTCCAATCCTGTGGCCACTGTTGAGTTTTCCAAGTTTGCTGGCATATTGAGTGTAGCACTTTTATTGCATCGTCTTTTAAGATCTTGAATAGCTCAGCTGGAATACTGTCACCTCCACTATCTTTGTTGTTGCTCAGACTTCCTAAGGCCCATTTGACTTCACATTCCAGGATGTCTGGCTCGAGGTCAGTGACCACCTCATCTAAGCTCTTTCTTGTATAGTTCCTCTGTGTAATCTTGCCACCTCTTCTTAATCTCTTCTGCCTCTGTTAGTCCCTGCCATTTTGGTCCTTTATCATGGCCTTCATATCTTCATATCTTCAATTTTCTTGAAGAGATCTTTGGTCCTCCGTATTCTATTGTTTTCTTCTATTTCTTTGCACTGTTCATTTAAGAAGGCATTCTTTTCTCTTCTGGCTAATCTCTGGAATTTTGCATTCAGTTAGGTGCATCTCTCTCTTTCTCCCTTGCCTTTCGCTTCCCTTCTTTCCTCAGCTATTTGTAAAGCTTCCTCAGACAGCCATTTTGCTTTCTTGCATTTCTTTTTCTTTGGGTTGGTTTTAGTTGCTACCTCTTGTACAATGTTGAGAACCTTCATCCAAAGTTCTTCAGGCACTCTGTCTATCAGATCTGATTCCTTAAATCTATTTGTAACCTCTACTGTATATTCATCAGGGATATGATTTAGGTCATACCTGAGTGGCCTAGTGCTTTTCCCTACTTTCTTCAACTTAAGCCTAAATTTTGCAACGAGAAGCTCATGATCTGAGCCACAGTCAGCTCCTAGTTTTTACTGACTGTATGGAGCTTCTCCATCTCTGGCTGCAGAGCACATAGTCAGTCTGATTTCTGTGTAGACCGTCTGGTGCTGTCCATGTGTAGAGTCGTCTCTTGGGTTGTTGGAAAAGAGTGTCACGGGGACACCCGGTTGGAGAAGGCTGTGGTGGAGAATGAGGTAGTTGTGGGTAGTGTCCTGCTAGCGCCGGAAGTTGTTCTTGCCCACCAAGGGACATCTCGTGCATCTCCTTGGTGTGTTGGAAAGGGCGCCTCTTTGGCTGGACGGTGGGGTGGAAATGCTTTAAATAGTCAAGGTGCCTGAAATAGATGACTTCACTGGCCTGATCCTTTCTCTCCATGATCAGCTGGAATTTCTTTCTTAGACATTTCCTTGTTTTCCTTATTCCCTTGGTGGTTTATAAAGAGAGGGTTGACATCTTTTGTTTCTTAGTGGAACGTTTTATTGTAAACGTACACATTTGGAGGCCTCTAGCTTTTCTGCTTGCCAATTTTGAAACTAAGTTATTTTTTAATCATTGTAGATTATACCTAGTTCACCAAGATGCATGCACGTGTTTCAGTCAAATGGTGGCAGTTAGCAGGCATTTTGCTCATGGCTCCTTCACTCCACATGGGAGATGGTGCTCAAAAGACTAGAAACATAGAAACAGCGCGAGTCAGAAGGGGTCTCCCGGGCCATCCAGCCTGACCCCCGGCTCCAGCCGGCTCCGCTCACGGCGTGCCACCATGGGCATGTCTAGGAAAGTTGTGTAAGCCATTCTAGCCTTCCTCGCTGCAGTGCTGTAAGAGATGGACGATGGACGCTGCATTACAATAGCCAAGTGTCCAGTGAACTGATTTGCATAATGAGAGGAATTTGGCTTAGTCTGAAACGCAAACTCTTGTAGACGTGGAATGTAGAAGTGAGCAGAGCACATGTGGGCCGACAAGGAGAAGAAATAAAAATAAGGTGGCCCATTGTTCACATGCATTTCAGCGTGCAAACATTTGGTGAGGACACCTCTGTGCTGTGTTTGGCATTCCAGCTGCAAGTCGTGATGGGCGTTCTGTGGCTGAGAGTAACTTTTACACGAGTGCAAGAGGTGCTACTTCTGAGAAGCAGGGGATGGACTGGATAGCTAAGCAGGTCCTGGGCGTTAGGGAAGTGCGCTCCAAGCAGAGGGCAGGTTCCCATTCATGCGACAGCCCGCATGTGTTCACGCCGGCAGAGGCTTCTCATCCCCACTGCTTCCAGGAGCCCCCTTTCCCCCCCTCAGAGAACCTGAAAAGTGGGTCTCAAACCTCAGTTTGTGATCCCCCTTTGGTCACCCATGAACAGTTCATCTAAATCAGTAGCAACTTATTGGGGCTGCCTGCGGCTCGCCAGCCATTCCCCCCCCAAACACAGAATTTTGTAGGAAAAAAAATACAGTAGTCCACCAGTTGCACTCCTAGAGCACGCGCGAATTGCGAAAAACCATGAATTTTGGATGTGGCAGAGGTTCATTGCCAGAAGCCTTAGAACAGGGGTCCTCATACTTCTTGGAGGGCCAGTTGAAAGGTGCCGGCGAAGGGTGCGGGCCGCCAAGGCAGTGCGGGCGGGCGGGTGCATGCAGAGATCGTTTTCTCCAGAGAAAACGATCTCAAGGCACCGGCTTGCTCGCAAGGAGATCGGTTTGCACTCACTCGGAGAAAACGATCTCCTTGTGAGCAAGCCGCCACATGGCGAGGAAAATTCTGCGAAAGACTGAGGCTGCGAATGCTGAACCACGACTTCACGGGGGGGTGCTGTGCACCCTATGTATGTGGAAGATTAACTGTCAAAAGAAGTCCAAGCTGTGAGGGCGTCTTGTTCTGACAAGGGGCTGTTTGGGGGATTTCTACCCCTTCTTATCCAGGTCCTTGCCTTTTCTGGCCTCCCCTTTATTCTCCATGGGGAGCAAACTGTGGTCACTGTCTCAAGTTCCAGGCTAAAATGGCAACCTCCCCTGTCCAAAGGGAAACAGCAGCTAGGCGTCCTAACTCTGGCTTCTTTTAAAAAGTTGCTTTTGATCGGGAAGAAGGTGGTTTTGGACTGGGGCCCTGAGGCATGTTTCCGGTGTGGACCCTGTCACGCTCAGAACCTCCTACAGCAGCTGTGGCTTCCGGAGTTGTTTCAAGAGCGCCCTTAACCATGCATCTTCCCAAGTTTAGACAACGGGAAGATGCATCAGTAAAGGGAGGTTTGGGGGGAAAACCCACAGTGGCTTCTTTTCCTCCTGCAATTGTGTAAACCCCATCTAGGTCAGAGACCATTAAGGTACACTCTTCACCACCCGCTGAATTTTTTGCATCTTGTCATGTCACAGTTTAGACTCAGGACTGATGAGCACTTCTGTAACCAACAAGTGCCAGTTTGTTTGCTCAACTTTTGTGCCACAATAAAAACATTTTGCACTTTCACAGCAGTGCGAAGCATCTGGCATATATCAAATGGTAGCAGTGCCAGTTAAATTTGTGTCACTTTCTGATTATTGCACAACAAAATGTGGAAGAATCAAAGGGGGTGTGTGTGTGGAGGGGGTAAATACTTCCGTCAGGCACTGTAGAATAGGAGAGGGCACCTGCATCTGTCAGGGAAGTGCAGATGGAAGAATTCTGCCTGGCTCGGCTCCCCTGCGTATTGTAACAGGTACAACGCAGGTTCCGAAAGCCTTCCAGGAAAGTGGACCTTGAATGCCCAGGGCACGTTGAGCCACACAGTAACGGGCCTGCCTGTTCCTTTTCAGTTCCCACAACTGTGGTGGACTCCGAAAGTGCAGGTTATGGGCTGGATCAACCGAGGGAAAGGGCAGGTGGTGTTGGGACACTTTGGAAAGAGTGTCAAGAACAAACAGCAGGAGCAGAGAGGAGTAAAAGTATTTTTCCTGCTCTTCTCTAATTGAACTGCAGGAGCAACACTGTCTAAAAAAGGTGCATGCACTATTTAAGAGCGCAATCCTGTGGTCCCTTGGAGATCATCCAGGGACTCTAGGATACTGCTGAGCTCTCCTGCCGAGACCGTATGCATTGCTGCATCTTCCGGAGAGGAGATCAGAAGCGGAGTTCTCGAACCTCACAACCTTCATGGAGAGCAGTGCAGCAGGTTCCTCACCTGAGGTCGGAGCTCCGACTTCAGGTAAGCATGCAAAGAGGAAAGGGATGGGGAGGTAGTGAAGACACGCAGGATCTGGTTGAAACGAGGCGGAAACATTTGCTGAAAACCGTCCCAGAGCATTATTTCCATTTCATAAAGTTAAACTCAAATCTATGTCAATTGCAAATATAATATAAGGCTGGCTTGGCAGCTTCGAAGTTGTAATTAAGGTAATCATCCCTACTAAGTATATGAAACGGGACTATTAAGTAGAGACAGGGAATAGCCCCAGTGGAAGAGGCCAGTGGTTTTCAGCAGACCGTGCCCAGTCCTTTGGGCTGCTGATATTCATCTGTGCAGCAGGTGCTGTTTGCAGCTGGACAGCTGTCCAAGAAAGAGATGCCTCAACTGGGGGGCCTGCAGGGAATGCTGGGTTGGACCCAATGGGCCTCTGGCCCCTTCCAGCTCTACTCTTCCGTGATGCTATAACTCCCGGCATTCCCAGCCAACCATGCTGACTGCAGGATGCTCGGACTGCAAAATACTTGGAGGTCTTTCTTTTTTAACCTGAAAACAATTCAAAAGACATACGCTCAAATGTCCATGTAACACAACTTAAATCACATTAAGAGTGTATTGTCATCTCCTCCCTGCATTGTTTCAGATCAAATACCTGTGGTGTACTGGGGCAAAACATCAACATGGAGTACTTTTTAGTTTAGTTCATTTTCCTTGAATTTAGTGAACATTCTAAATTAAACCACTTGCAGTGCAAATGGAACATTTTCCGATGCAAATAGCCATGTGCAAAAATAGCTTACCTCACACTCAAAAGCTTTGAATGTTTTCTGGAAAACCCGCATGGCTACACGATCTGAAAGCCTCAGAGCTCCTGCTCCCAGCAGTTTTCTTAGAGGAATCTTTGCAGAAAGAACATGGAGGGGCACAGATGGTAGCCCTCTCTCTCCCTTTTATGCCAAGCATCTGCCAGCAGAGCATAGGATTTTCGGAGCTTTGCAACCAGCCCCGGCAGCCCACAATGAAACTGCTGTCCCAGGTTCAGACAGTGCAGCGAGCCATACATATAACTCTTGGAACAAGCCATGCAAAAAAGAAGTCACCCAATGAAAAACACTTTGACTTTGCCTGGTGTCACACTCTACTGTGGCCAGCTGCCCTCAACCACTGTTGAGTCTGCAGTGCAAAACAGAGATAAACTGGTGGTCTGCACAGCAGGGGTTGGGCCTTGCCCCCTTCCAACTCTGCTATTCTATGATTCTGTGATTATATTGTTGCCTTACTTCACTGTACTATATCTCTTTCTGGGGAGGTTGCGGGGGATTTTTTGAGGGAGAGGGAGTTAAGATGCATCCAGAACTAGTTTACTTAGAAAGTAACCAGTGAACTTGGAGTTAAAATTTACATTAACATCTCACTTAACTACAATCTCATCATTTTTCCCCTGCCAGGAAATGACCTAGAGGCCTTAGAAATACATTTCTGCATCCTTTGGACCCTACAATCAAGAAAAGCTCACTCCGAAAGCATCACTCATTAACATCAAAAGGAAACTACCTCAACATAGAAAAGGAGAAGCAGTAAGGCTTGCAATAAAAACAAACACTCTTTATGAATAATGTGTTGCTGCGACGTCTCCAGGAAACAAATGTGCATTTTTTTCAGTATTACGATGGGGAATTCAATCAGATTTGACTGACAGGTTCTGTCAAACCAAGAAACAGTTTGATCTGCTGATGTGAAGGTTCACTAGTCCTTTAAGGAAAGCCCTGTTAAATGTTAATAATCACTGTTGAGCAGTGAGTTTGCTTTCGCTCTTCCTCTCTTAATACTAACTGAAGAAGTTTATAACGATGATTCAGCTTTTTAAAGATAAGGTCTCTTCATTGTAAATAAATGTTAACATTAGGTGTCAAAAATGCATTAACAAGAAAACTCCTGCAGACAGCTTTGATACCTGTTTTGAAATGGTATCTTGGGTGCGTACAGTAGACAGCTGAAAAGGAAACATACAGTATTTTTAAAAAAACTTACTGCAGCTTGCTTTTACAATTCTTACTTGTAACTGCAGCGGTGCTGCGTTTGAACACTGAGTAGTACCAAGTCAGCAACCTGGCTGCCTTTTTCACTGCTGATACCAGTTACGTACTTTTTTTGGTTCGTTTCTGAAACGCCTCTGATGAAAATTATGTGCATTGCCCTGTACTATTGCTATGCCTAAGTCGCTTCCAAGGGAGCAACTCATGAGAACGAATTGTTAATCCGAGGAACCTTTTGTCAAGCACTTCCTTATGTATTGCTGCAGTGCACAAGAAAGTAAAATGGACTATAAGCGGCGCTTTTTGCTTGGCGGGTCCAAGCAAAAAGTGCAGCAACACCAGCAGTACCAAGTGCCGGAACTGGGCAAGACTCTGAACGCACCCGCAGCGTCCCCACTGGTCTCCCCGGCTGCTGCTGGCGGCTGCAGCCACGCAGCTCCGATTGCCGACATCCAGCAGGGAATCTCCAAGTATCTGGATGCACTCAACGTCTTTTGCCGAGCGAGCGCTTTCCTCACGGAGCTTTTCAGCAGCGTGTTTCGGAACTCACACTACTCTAAGGCAGCTATGCAACTGAAGGACGTGCAGGGACACGTCATGGAGGCGGCAAGTCGACTCACCGCAGCAATAAAGCCAGAAATAGCAAAAATGCTCATGGAACTTAGTGCCGGAGCAGCGAACTTCAAAGATCAGAAGGAGTTCAGCCTCCAGGACATCGAGGTAAGCGTGGCACCGGTCGCCTGGTGAAGGCTGTTTTGTCCATCTGCTGCGATTGCCCGGTGTGGGCGAGTTTCTTGGTGGGGGCTGTTTCAGCGTTGCAGCAAAGACGGGCCATCCTTGGTACCGATCTTCCTCTCTCCTGCACTGAGTGTGTTGTTTGCCTACAGCTTTAAAATGGGAATTGCAGCTTTTCTTTATCGGACTGCTAGGGCATATCACAGTATCCCACCTAATAGGTTAGATGTTTATTGCACCAGAGGAACCCAAGAAACTGCCTTATATAGAAATATAGAAACAGAGCGAGTCAGAAGGGGCTTCCCGGGCCATCTAGTCTGACCCCCTGTCTCCATTTGGCTCTGCTCATGACATGCCCACCATGTGCATGTCCAGCCTGTCCTTGAACAGCCTCACCGAGGGGGCCGCACCCACCTCCTGTGGAAGCCCATTCCATGCCCTAGAGGTCCTAACCATCAGAAAGTACTTCCTGGCATCCACCCTGAATCTTGGTTCCCTGAGCTTTGCTCCATTGGAACGTGTCCTGCCCTCCACTGCAGGGGAAAAAAGGTCATGACCTACCTCCGCGTGGCACCCGCTCACGTACCTGCATGTTGCTAACAGGTCTCCTTAGATCATTTGATCCATCTAGTCAGCAATGCCTTGCATCTCCCCCAGCCTGGTGTCCATCAGAGGTCTTGGACCACACCTCCCAGGATTCCTGATTGTTAGCCACACTGGCTGGGGTTGTAGTCCAAGTATTATTTTGTAATTGTGCTTCTGCGGTCTGAAGTAGAAATCACAGACAGTAACTGCGTTCGTATACATGATAAGCTGTGATGGCCTATAAACCAGGTTCAGCTTGTCGTGTTGTCTGAACTCAGCATCACGGTTTACTGACTGGACGCAAAGCAACAGATTAACCGGTAATTTGACAGGACACATCATCCAGGGCATTGATGAGGCGAGGCTGTGCATTAGGGTAGTTGGAGTTGCCCAGCCACCAGCTTAAAAAAAATACCAACAAGAAATTCTCAGATCTCAAGTATATAAATAAAAAGTGTGGAACCCATGATAGCTGCTCCAGGCTGCTGACTGGGCACTTTGAAGAGACCTTCGGCAGCTGTCGCCGTGTGCTTTGCAGAAAGCCGTCTTCGAGCAGGGGGAAGCTACCGCCGCTGTGAAAGGGGTTGTGCTGGGCACAGGGGAGACCGAGTCAGCGACAGTAGTTCTAGAATGCCCCGTGGGTCCTTGGTGTAGTAGTTGTCACTGGTGCCGGCGTGTTTGGGCTGAGCAAGGGAGGGGGAGGCTCCTTTGGCCTAGCAGCTCAGCTGTCTGGGCTTGGGCGAGGTGACAGTGCGTTGCGGCCACCGTAACCCTCAACAGAAGCTCTATCCTGTCAGGGGAGCTGGGCACCCCAGCGCAAGCCATCCTGCAGGAAGTGGTCCCGGTTATATGATGCCCCAACGCAGCAGAGCTATTTCTAAGCAATAGTTCGTTGTGTTGTGCAAACCCTCCCTTTGCACAATAGTGCATTGTGCGTTGACGGAGGGCACAAGCGATATTGCTCTCAAGTTCCCTGCCATCCTCGCCCTGCCGCATACAGTGGCGCTGCCGGGTTATTTTCGGCTCTGGGTTTAGTGGCCTTGGGAGGCTGCTCCTTTTAGATGGCTGCATGAAACGCACGGCTCCCCCTCTCCTTCTCCCATGCCATTCCCATCTCGTGCTTTGCAACCAGCGTTCCTGGTGTGTTGCACCAGCACTGTTTGCCCACACTGGTGAAACTCGGCACTCGTGTGAGTACGTGCATTTCCAGCGCGCTCAACTTGGAGCGCTTCCGGGATGACAGAAGTGAAATGGAATGTGCCTGTGTTACCCTCGTCACCTGCTCGTCCTCTGGCGGTTCCTGGGGGCGCTGGCAGCGAGCCCTGTCTGGCTCTTCTCGGAGCAGAATCTTTCAAAGACTTTTTTTTAAAGAAAAAGAATCCAAAAAGGAAAGTATTGTGCAGGAGCGGCAACTTCGTAGGGGCTGTGGATGTGTGAGCCTCTCCTGCCTGTTTGCCTTCGGGGATTTCTGTAGTAAGTCGAAATGACAGGTGGCACTTTATTTTTGCTGCATGGTAGCAGTTGCTTGTATCACATGCGCTACCTTGCCATCTGCACCGGACACACGCGAGCAGCCAGGCGCAGCGCATTCTTTCAGGGCAATGCTAAATATACACACAGCTTTCCAAACCCCATGTGAGTGTTTTGTTCTCAGTGAGCAAGGGGGCGATCGGGGATTTAATTTTTTGATGCATGCCGATAATCAGCTAGCATGTGCCCCCTTTCGCGGGAGGCACACTTGATCTCTGGCCACCTGTACATTGTGTTCCTGCCTGTCTTTTGTACAGCAGCGGTGCAAAAAGTAGCCTGCCAAGACATTTCCGGCAGTCCGGTGCCTTGCTGCGCCGTGCAAAACACGGCTGTGATTCTGCACGAAGCTTTGCTTGCAGGTGAATGCAAAGTGATCCCTTCCTCTGCTCCGTTCCGTGGCTTGAGATAAGGAACGGATTCTTTTGCTAACTCAGGGAATAGAAACGCCTCACTTCCCATGGCTAATGCGAGCAAGAGAATCCCTACTCTTCTCTCTGCTTTCTGATACCAGAGATAAGGGACGGGATTCCGTCGGCTAGAGTTACCGACGAAAAGCTTCCGTTAGCAAGAACAGCCACCTTCCCCTCCCTTTTGCCTATTATGACATCGTATTTATATCCCACTGTTTTTCCTGCTACAAGGAGGTCAAGATGGCTTGCACAATCCTCTTCGATTCCAGTTCACATTCCTCACAACAACAACCCTGTGAGGTTGCTCAGAGTCACCCAGCGAGCGAGTGCTTGAAGTTGGAATTCCTGCCCCAGCTGAACCCCCAGTGGCCCATGTCTGTCTCCCGCTGCACCACCCCCACCCCATTTTCTAGGCACCTTCACTAACTCCATTTCCCTCCCAATCCCCATTTCCCAGGCAGCTTCGGGGACGGTGCAAGTGGCTCGCCCCTCCTTGCAAATGGCCTTCAGGCCAGCGACAACTGAGGCAGCATCAAGGTTTGCAGCATCCCGAGGGGCTGGCGGCCTCCTGTCTAGCTCCTTGTGTTCTCCAGCATGATTTCAGTTCTGGCAGGACAGTAAGAAGCAAAATGGTGGAATATGGTCTGCTACTAATATGGTCAGATCCTGCCTTTCTTCCAAGGAGCGCCAGGCAGCTCCCGTGATCCTCCGCCAGCACCCCATTGCTTGCTCCCCATGGGGAAGTCCAGGTGGTGAGGTGGGTGGCTGGGCCAGGCCTCCCAGCTGAGCTCCGTGGCTGAGTGAGGATTTGAATCCTGTCTCCAGTGCCTGGTAAGCGATGACGCTGCCAAAAGTACTTGGCGCCTTTGCAAGCTGCCGGTTGTCTCTCCCAGTGACTTTGACAGTGGCACAGGGCTGAAACAGCATCTGGCCACCCTCCTCCGTGCTGTGCTCCCTTGCCTCCTGCACCCCTGCTGGCCAAGAGGGGTCGCGTCACAGCATTTGGGGGGATTCATATCCCCCACCTTTGACTGGCACGTGGAAATGCTGGTCACTTGCGCTCGTGCTCTGCATCATGCTCAGAGCTGCCCCGGGCGACTCGCCGGCTTCCCCATCTTCACTCGTGTCAGCATGTTGCATCTGTTAAGTCAGGACCTCAAAAGCTTGCACTCTTAATTTGGAGCTCCAGCATGTTGTAAAGTGAGGGGGTGTCCTGTGTGTTGTACATTTCCACAGTGTACCATTAAAATGCATGAATCAAGCACCCACCCCGTTTGCTCATCTGCCGAGAGAGCCTGGAGCTCCTGATAGGTCCGGTGCGGCACGGGGATCAGAAATAGGTGCGCCACAGCCACCGAGTCCAGATGCGCAACCAAGCACTTGCTCTTTGCCCCCGCCGGCATCCTGCAAAGACGGGAGCGTCCTTTTCTTTGCATCGCCCCAGGGCTGTGCTGTCTCCTCAGTTTGAACTTTTTAAGCAGCATTCAGCCGAATTCCATGAGGAGAGAGCGATGCTGGTTCCAGAAGAATTATTTTGAAGAGCATAATTTTTGCAAGGGTTTTCTGCATACCACCTGGGAAACTGTGAAGCAAGGGAGCTGTACCTAAGTCCCTCGGCAGGTCGGGCAGCTTACGGAAGCGTTTGAACTGTGTACTAAGAAAGGGAATGATGGAATTGCCATGGAATGTCGGAGGGAGACTAAATGGAATGGTATGATGGGGATGAAAGAGCCCCTGCCACCAGCCGTTCTGCCTCAGTTGATTTCATTGGCCTTTCAAAGCCAGTTATTTTGGACCAGGACGCCCAGCATTCCTGATCGCTGGCCATACTGGTCGGAGCTGTGGAGAGTTAGAGTGCAAAACCCCTAGAGGGCACCAGGCTGGGAAAGGGCCCCTTTCTTGACAAATTCTTGCCGATACAGGAAAAGTGCATTCTGAAAGGATGCCATTAGAAAGAACCCGTGTATCTGTGTGCCATGTGATGCGTATACATGCTACATGTGGTTCTCAGATGATGTGAGCATGTGCACTTCATCGCAATTCTTTGTTACAGAATGCTCAAAATAGTACCTCTAGCAGAGATGCGATCCGCTCACTTCTGTGAGGCTGCCTCCAAATGACGCTTCCATATCGCCGTCTCCCATGTCCTTGCTGCCAGGCTTCTGAAGTGATGTTTTGTGTTTTCTTTAATTTCACACTTAGTGCAAAGGAAGTCAAACAGTTATCTTGGAGACATCCAAATGTTTTCACGCACGTGAGAGCCTAGTGCGAATGCCAGAATGCGCATGCAAAGAATGAATTGTGTGAAGGCCGTTCCTGACCAATGGGAGTCTGTCTTTCCATTTTCATAGGTACTCGGACGATGTTTCTTGACGGTGGTGCAGGTTCATTTTCAGTTTCTGTCCCAAGCTTTGCAGAAGGTCCAGCCGGTGGCCCACTGCTGTTTCACTGAAGCTGTAGCTCAGGAAAGAAAGCATTCGGGTGTGGCAGAGACCTCCAGCGTGAGCCCCACCGTCGAACTGGAAGAAGCAGTGCGCTCCTGGAGAGGAGCGGCAGAGGTGAGTGCGTGGCGCTGCGTGGCCGGGTCGGGGCAGCGTGGGAGAAGTTGCTGTCTTCCCTGGCTTTGTGCTCCTCGTTCTGCTGAATGTGTTGCGATTTATTGACTGTATTTATTAGCAGGTTTGCTTTTTGTAGTAGGAGCAACCTGTAGCCATGCCTTGGATTCTGTTGCTGCAGAATGTGGGTGGAATTCCTCCAGGACACCTGTAGTCACAGAATGACAAGGTCCAGATCCAGGGCCTTTTCCGGGTCAGGAAGGTTAAGTAATGTGGTGAAGTCCAGCGGCGTCTCCAGCCAGTGTGAGGTTCTGAAGACAGAATCCAGGGCCATGTGTCGCATCAGATGATGCCTGCAGTTTTGCCAGTTGGAGCTGGGAAGGAGATGGCAGCTCCCCTCCACACACCCTGGAGTCATGTGGGTCAGTGGGCCCGGCTTCAGCTTAGGGAGGACCTGCATGTGCATCGTGCTAGTTGGAAAGGGGCAGGTGGTCTGCCAAAAAACTGCGGAAGGCACAGGAAGGAAACAGAGATGAGCAGGATGGGAAGTACCAGGAAGAGACGGTTGATTTGGTGGCACAGGAGTGGGCAGCCTGGGGGCTTTAGGCTGCAGCTCCTTAATCATCCAGCATTGGCCGCACAGGCTGGGTCGGGTGGGAGTTGCAGGCCAGACGACTCGGGGGGCACAAGTTGCCCACCCCCGCCGCAGCGTCAGGCGGGGTGTGGGTGTGGTGAGGCGCATACCTGAGGTGCCATGGGTGCTTCCAAAGAGGCCAGGAGAGATTTGGGTTGGGGTACACCAGCTCTTAGAACAAGGTGGTGTGGCTGCTGGCAAGTGGTGTGTTGAGCGAATTCACATGTGCCGCTGCTCCATATTACTATTCTTGTTGTAATTGTGCTGTGTTGTATTTTTAAATAGGATTTTAAATGTGAATTTAATGAGGCTTTTAATAGGTATATGGGAACTGCTTAAGGATTTTAAAGTTAGTTAGCAGTATAATTAGATATTTGTATATAAATAGTACAAATCAATATGTTTCGTGTAAATGCAGTGCATGTGAAAGACAATGTGATCTTTCTGCAAATTTAGATATATTAGGCTAGAAATAACTCTTGAACGTTATTTGAAAGCCTCTGATGAATTGGCCAAGAAGCTAAACTAAAATCAGACTACTAGTTCATAATTAGGGTTTTGGCTAGGAAAGATAAAACCCCAAGCGCATGCACCTCTCCCACTCCAGTTTTATTTCTTTCATTAAATGCCCCCTCTCCCCTTATCTTCACAGTAAACTTGTTGGATAGCTAAGGCTGAAGGGTGACAGCTGGCCGGGGTCCCCGGTCCACTCCAGGGCCGAACGGGGATTCAAGGCTGCTGCTCTCCCGGCCTCACCTGACATTCCTGCTGAATGAATCGTGAGAAAGGGAGGTGCAGCTGCTCCCTCCAACTTTTAAAGAAGTTGTTAGGCGAAGGCAAAAGACACGGGTGACACAGACTTTAGCATTTGCAGGCACGCTGGTGAGGTCCATCAATAAATCCTACTGCTAATGAGGGGCCCTGCTGAATCAGCTCATAGCCCCATCTGCATGCCTTCCTCCCCATGCAAGCACGGCTAGCGTGCAGACACGATCTGTACGTGGTGATGGTTCACCGCGAGTTCCATCTTAGTGGACCACCAAGGCCGCCTCTGTCACTCCCGAGTCCCGGCTGCACCCTCTTACCGGTTCGCTGGGCCTCCCGTTCACAGGCCACGTCGCGTCTGAGAGAGCGGGGCTGTGACGGCCGCCTGGCTGGGATTGAGGTACAGCAGCTCTTCTGCTCCCAGAGCGTGGCCATTCCGGAGCACCAGCTGAAAGAGCTGAACCTGAAGATCGACAGTGCCCTGCAGGTCAGACGCCTTGATGCCGTGGTCGGCATTCAGGGCATCGCCCCCGTGGGGACTGGGTGGGAGAGCGTGGGCGGGCAGTTTTCAGGGGCACACAGAGGCTAAGAGGAAGCAGTAAGGATGTCCTGACCACTGGGCCCCTGGCTATGCTGCAAACGTTGCTCGACTCCTCCAAAGAAGGAGGGCTGCGACTGGATAGCGGGGCGGGGGACACGGCCTCTCAAGGAACTTCCAAGGCCATGCAGAGTAGCCGAGAGATGGCACTGATTCTCGTTCAACACGGTGTATATTTTCAGCCCTGCAACGCCCTGTGATCTCTTTTTTTAATACCAGGCATATAAAGTTGCATTGGAAAGTTTGGGTCACTGTGAATATGCGATGAAAGCTGGCTTCCACCTGAATCCAAAGGCGATTGAAGCAAGTTTGCAGGTAGAGACTGTCTTCTTTGACTGCCAGCAGGCAAGGCGGATGGGTTGCAGGTGGATGCCTTCCTGACATGTTGCTTTGGTGTGCTGTTCTAAGGGCTGCTGCAGCGATGCTGAAGCCCAGCAGACCGGGCGGAGGCAGACTCCTCCACAGCCAATTCAGTGCGAACTCCCCACCGTTCCCATTCAGATCGGCGCCCACTTCCTGAAAGGAATTTCCTTTAATGAATCTGCAGCAGATAATCTGAAGTTGAAAACGGTAAGAACGCTCGGTCGAACTTGGGTGGTGAAAGGACAGCAACTTTTGGCCAGAGAGTTGTGTATGTAAAAATTGTGCGCAAAGCAAACATTTAAAAATGTGTTGTTTAAGCAAGTACTTTTAAAGAAAAGGCAGCATATTGAATTGTAAGCAAAATCGTGCTCCAAAATCTCATGGTCACATTCAGCGACTGTAATCCTGCTCATTGTTGCAGCCTCGGGGGCTTTGGTGTTTTGTCTGGCTTGCTGATTGTCCTGCCCTTTTCAAAGCTGCTGAGAGCTTAAGTGTGGGGCTTTGGCTTTTGGATGTGACTGGGTCGCCATTGCAGACCTCTCCATAAAGACTCGATTTGAACGTGCCAGAAAGTGATTCTTGTCCTTCTGAACCAAGAGCAAGAAAATCAGGGAATGCTGCCAGGGGGCAAGACGTGGCATTGATTGTGGGCTCAGTCCAGAATCTCCTTTCCATGAGGAAGGCCCTTCTGCCCCATCTCCTGGGCCCTTCCACCCACATCACCCTCACCCCATCCAGTGGGTTCCTCTGCCTCTGGGTAGCAGTTGCGGGGAATTAGAAGAGTTTCCCTGGGAAGGAGGGAACAGAGGTGATGCCCCAGCGCCAGTCTAGATCCAGCCCTTGTCCTGAAGTTGATGTTGCATTAACTTCTGTTGGTGAATAGAACAAAAATAGAATATGGGGTCTGTGGTGGGTCAGAACTTGGCTCAAGGTACCCAGCAGGATTGCTGAATTACTGCAGAAGGATCGACTTTGGGAGGCATCGGTGATCTCATGGCCATTTATATTAATAAGGCAAAGGAGTCCAGGAACAGCCCATTAAGTGCTTGCATAGTCATTGATTGTGAAGGTGCTTCTCCAGCACATACTGAATGACAGCATGCGGAGTTCATTGTCTGCTTGAAATTGAGAAAATCCCATTTCTGAAGGCAGTTGCTACTCACTTCCCGAGAGAAGGGCCACTCTTATTCAAGCTGGTGCTGAAGGAGAACTTATAAGTTGTTTACCATGTTGATTTAAGCCAGCTTTTCCCAACATGGACGACAATTCTGCCCAGAGAGACTTGGCGATCGAGGGTATAGAGCTGTAGTTAATTAATAATGAATAAAATCTGCTTCCATCAGGCCGCTAGGTGATCCTAGGAGCAGCGGGCACTTGGGACAGTAGTGAGGGTTGTGGGCGCTTCAGCCATCTTAATCGACGGAGCACTTCCGTTATCGACAGCGGAAGATTGTTGGCTTGGGTGTGGAGGAAATGTCTCGTGCGGCTGCCAGCGTTCTCTCTCCTTTCGCAGCACACGATGATACAGCTGATTAAAGAAGCCGGGTGGCACAACGGCGTGACCCCGCGGGACGACTCTCCCGTGACCGAAGTGCTGAACCAGGTTTGCCCTTCCACGTGGCGGGGGGCCTGCAAGACCGCGGTCCAGTTGCTCTTTGGCCAAGCGGGGCTGGTAAGTGGCCACGAGAGGAGAACGATGTGGCAGACCATAAAGAGGGCGGGGGGACAGAAACGCAAGGATGATAACCGAGTCCTGAAAGAAGGAAGAGCTCCTCTGGCACGTGGGCCCCGTTTAGCACAGCACTGCCACACGGAGCTCTCTCTTCCAGGCTGGTTGCCCTGCCGGCCTCCTTCCTTCCCGGGCTGCCTGTTCCCTTCCCCTCTTCCTGTGCTGTTTTTCTGTTTCAGCCCGAGTGTCATTGGACATGCACTGTTCCTGTTTTTGTCCCTCAGAGTTTTTGACAAAGGCGGTGGTTTTTATTTTTGCTTTTCTGCAGGCTGCAGGTTCACCCCATGTGCCTGAGAGACTCTTTTTGTGTCTGCATGATGTTGCTTGGACTGTATAAGGATGATTACTCAGAGTATGAGTTGGCTGTTAATATACATAGTGACATCATTAACCTGCCGGCTTCTTCATAATCGTATTGACTTACGAAAATGACAAACCACAGAATAAAAGCCTCCGATCTGGAATTTATTGATCGTGTTGGCTCAACATAATAACCCGCCCTTTAAGTAAACCACACAGTGACTGGGTTCACATGCTGTGCCGACCGGTTGTTGGTGGCAAGCCATGGGGGAGTCTCGTGTTGCGCGAACTGAGGCTGTTCCTCACAGGGCTTCCCATTTGACAGCTGTGGCCATCAAGTGAGGGGCAACGCCGCAAGGAGAGCTTTGCCCACGAAATGGTGTGGCAAGCCGGTCTTCTCTTTTGCAGTGAGGCACTCGGATCTTGTTTTTTACATTATTGTTCAGACCCGACTGTCCTCCAGTGTCCACCTCCTTATGGCTGCAGGGGAAGTGGAAATGGCCACCACCATCCCAGTTGCAGGAGCAAGACTCAGGCTTCCTTTTAAAACAGGCTTTCTGCCAGAACTAGTCGGGGGGGGGGGGGTGTTTGACAGGAACGTATGCGGGCATAATGGTTTGTATATTTACCGTGACAGCTAGGTCTATCTTCCATATAGCAGAAGATCCTGAGATTCTTTGCCTCCTAAGGAAGAGCCTTCCAAAGTTTAGCTGGGTTTTCTTTCCCCATCCAGCAACGTGGAGATAAACTCTACAAAAGTGCTCCTTTTACCTGCGAAGGTTTCTGGGGCCTTTGGTTTCTCTTGACAGTTTGTCACTTGACAGCTGTCAAAAGTAATGGAACTTGGGGAGGGTTTCCACAGGCACAGTGCAGCTGTGCCTATTTAAAAAAAATAATGTGAAAAATGCGCTTTTCTGTACAGCAAAAAAATAAAAGTACTGCCAGGCACAGACAGCTCTGCCAAGTTGCTGCTTGGGAATTTTGAAGGGGCTGGTGGCTGTCAAACAGAGACTTCAGCTTTTGCAGTCCCTGGTGGGGTGGGGGGATTAAACTGCAGAGAAGCTGTGGCTAGCCAAAACGGCCTCCCAGTCACGGGGGTGGGGGGACTCGGTCTTCCTGCAGTGTCCCCTGGGAGACCTCCTGGAGGATCATGGGCAGGGAGGGAGCAAACAACCCCAGGTCAGACTGATTGTCTTTGGTCCCCCCGTGGGTTGTTTGTAGAACTGAGCCCCCCCCCCCCCCCGGTGGCTTACTACCATATAATTGTGTTGGCGTGACACGCAAACTTGCCCAGGCACCGAGTAATGTTGGCCACTGTAATTAAGGGTCAGTACTGGGGTGTGTCTATTTATCCTTCGACAGATGATTTCTCCAGCTAATCTCCCATGTGGAGTTGTTAAATTAAAATCTTCTCTGAGCTCCAGGATGTAATTAATACACATGCAGGATAAACAGTAAAGCAAACCTGAGCAGATGTGATGCAGACACGGTTGCGGTGCAGTGAGAGCATGAGATTTTAAATTGGTGGCCCGGTTCCCTTTGTGGGAGGACAGGATCAGGCAGTGGCGCTTCGTAGCGCAAGAAGGGTGCGGCGGGTGCGGTGCTGGGCACTTCAGGGCTCAGTCAGAGGAAGGCCGCCCTCAGTTTTCCTAGATGCACATTGGACACAAGGGCAAGCGGGAGCCAGCATGCGGCAGGGAGAGAGCAGTGCTTTTCACATGACAGTCCCAAAGGCTAAGCTGGAGGGACCTTCCCCCGGTGTTTGCGCGACTTACGCTGTGGAAGTGGAGGAGCCAACCCCTGGTGAGTCTTGGCACTGCTTTTAGCAGCGCTGTTCTGTGCAAGAATCCCAGAATTAATGGCTGAATTATGCAGTCCAGGAATTGTGGTCTCTGCTAAATGTGTAAGAAATCCCCTGCAAAAGACCGCAAGCCAACTGCCCCTTCCTCACCCCGTCGCTGCTCAGTGCTCATGTTGGAGCAAGCGGCTGTGTACACCCCTCAGTTGCGGAACTCGCTTGCAGAGCACTTTGAAAGAGTGGGATAGGAACAGGCTGTGACTGCTTGAAGGGCTTCCAGCCCGGCATGCTGTGGGACATCCTCGCCCATTGTTTAGACTGTTCTCTGGGTGGGAAGGACCGAGGAAACATCTGCAGAACAAGAACAATGACTGTTGGGAGTCATTTCCTTTTTTAAATATATAATGTTTTATTCAAAATTGTAACCCTAAAACAAAGAAAAACTAAAACCAACATCAGTCATCAGAAACATCGGACCTGCTGAGTCAGCCCCCACATTTTTTTACATTTATGTTAACTTAGAAACAGATTTAAATCTATACGAAGTCCCATTTCTCTAGCCAATAATAAAAAGAGTCTCAAGTTTGATAGAAATCAGTATCTTCTTTCTCCTTCAAGGACAAAGTCAATCTGTCCATTTCTGCACAGTGCAAGATCTTTTTTAGGATCAATTCGTTGGTGGGTGGTTCTTCACTTTTCCAGTGTTGAGCAAGTGCAATCCTCGCCGCAGTAATTATATGTAAAATCAAGTACATTTCTTGTTTACTAATGTCTTCCGGTATAATGCCTCATAAGAAGACTTCAGGTTTAAAAGCTAAGGATTTTTGTGTTTCTTGATTCAATTTCAATCCTCCATCATTATCCAGAACGTCATATCTTATGATTCCTTCAAAGTTCAATGCATTTGGATATACAAAAGCTTCCATAGGTGAAAGCCATCTTGATAATTTATTATACAATTTTGTCTTTAACTTTTCCCACACCGACATTAATGATTTCCTAATATAGTGACTTAAAAAAGAGCCATGTAACTTAGCCTTTTCATACCACATATAAGCGTGCCAACCCATTTGCAAATCATGCCCTTCGAGATACAAGATTCTCTTATTTCTTAAAGTTATCCAGTCTTTTAGCCACGATAAAACAGAAGCTTGATAATACAGCATCCAATCGGGGAGACCAAAGCCCCCATTCTCTTTAGCCTCCTGAAGTATTTTTCATTTAATCCTTGGTTTCTTCTTTCCCCATATAAATCTCGAGATTTGAAAATTCAAATCATGAAAACATTTTCTATCAATTTTTATGGGAATCATTTGGAACAGAAACAAAAGCTTTGGTAATATGTTCATTTTAGCCAGTGCTGTTCTTCCCAGCCAGGATGATGGCAAATTAGCCCATTCTTCCAAATCACTCTTAATTTCCTTAAATAGTTTATCATAATTGTCTTCCTTCAGAGTGGTGCACTTAGCTGTAAGACAAATTCCCAAATATTTAACCTTTTTAACAATCTGCAAGTCAACTTGTTGAAGCAGAGTTCTTCTCTGCTCCTGTGTGAGATTTTTTACTAACAATTTTGTCTTTTCTCTGTTTATTTTCATCCCAGTAACCTCGCCATACTCTTCAATCCTTTGTAGGAGTTTAGGCATTGCTACTAAGGGTTCCCCCGTTACGAAAACTAGATCATCTGCAAATGCTTGCAGTTTATAGCTTTCATCTCTGATTCTAGTGCCTTCAATGTCCATATCGTCCCTGATATTTCTGTTTAACTCTTCTAGGATCAATATAAACAACAGAGGTGATAGCGGGCATCCTTGCCTTGTACCCTTTTGTATATCTATAATATTTGTAAATTCTCTGTTGATTATAATCCTAGCAGACTGCTTTTGATAGATGCTTGATATCGCATTAATAAGCCTTTCACCAAACTCCATTTGAGCTAGCTGTTGCTTCATAAATTGCCAGTTAACATTGTCAAAAGCCTTCTGTGCGTCCATGAATAACAGTGCCATTGGTTTTTCCGTATGTATCTCATAATACTCAAAGATGTCCAGGATAGTTCTCAAGTTATTCCTCATTTGTCTTTTAGGTAAAAAACCATTTTGATCTGAGTGAATAAAGTCTGTTAGATACTTCTTCAATCTTTCTGCCATTATGGAGGCAAAAATTTTGTAATCCACGTTTAATAGTGATATAGGTCTATAATTTTGAACCTGCGTCAAGTCCGTGTCTTCTTTCGGTATTAATGAAATATTTGCCTCTGTCCAAGTATTTGGTATTTTAGCATTTAACAGTGCTGCATTACATATATCCTTAAGAAGCGTAGCGAAAATTCCTTCAAAGGATTTATAAAACTCTGCTGGTCGCCCATCCGGGCCAGGAGTTTCATTGTTCTTTTGCTGCTTAATTGCCTCTATTACTTCCGTGATGGTTACTTCTTGATTCAATACTTTTTGGTATTTCTCCGGTAACTTTGGCAGGTCTCCCTTTCGAATATATTCTTTTACTTTCTCAGTTGAAATCTCATCATTCTGGTATAGCTTTGCAAAGAAATCTTCCGCTATTCTCTTGATATGTATACTTTGTACTTGCAGTCGTCCTTCTCCATCCTTCAATTTACATATCAGTCTCTTCTCTCTTTCTTTCTTTACTTTATAGGCTAACCATCTCCCTGGTTTATTAGCATTTTCAAAGAAGTTTTGTTTGGTCAATTTCATTTGCTTAGTAAGTTCATTTGTGTCCAGGAGTTTCAGTTTATGTTTTAGAATATTCATTTGCACCTTAAGGGTTTTTTTGGATGGATCTTCCTGTAATTCTTGTTCACTTTTCGTCAATTCCTCTACTATTTTAGCTCCTTCTTGTTTTTTCCTTTTGTTTATTTTTACTGAGTATGTTATTATCAGCCCCCTGACATAGGCTTTGGCTGTATCCTAGACATTTTGTAAAGAGGTCTCTTCAGTTTTATTTATTTGAAAGAATATTTGCATTTCCTTATTTATCTCTTCTGTGAATTTTTTATCCTTTAATAAGGCTTTATTTAACCTCCATCTGGGCGTCCTTACTGTCCCTTTCAGTGATATAGCTACAGGGTTGTGATCTGCCCAGACATTTGCCTCTATTTCAGCTTCTAGCAAGTCTGGTACTAAGTCTGGGGTTATCCAAACCGTATCAACTCTAGACCACGACCTATGTCTATTCGAATAAAAAGTATATTTAGCAGAGGTTGGGTTTTTATGTCTCCAAACATCTATCAATCTGAATTCTTCAATCATATTAGACATAGATTCTTCAACCATGTTCTGATATGACTGGGGAGTCATTTCCGTTGCTGGCGTGTGCAATGGCCATCGGCTGTTCTTGGAGCGGAACTCACGTTGGCAGAATAGCAGTGGGTCACACGCTTTGGCATCTGCTGAAACGGCACCAGCGTTGCCTGGCTCCCCCAAACCCTGCATGCCCCGAACTGGACAGAGAGTCTGCGAGGACTCCTGGATCGCTGGGCCTCGCCTGGGACAAAGGAAAGCCTCGAGCTGCAGCGTGGGCCTGGTCCCCGGCGGCCTGGGCGGAACGGCTTGCTGCCGTTTCATTGCAACCTGCCCGCTGCAGCAAAGCGGTTGCGCCGTTACGGAAGTCGTGCTCCAGGGGCAGGTTACTCGTAGGGCAAAGATTTTTTTTCTAGTCCTGCATAGCAGGCTGTGGGAGCAAGCATGACGGCACAGCAGGGCGCTTTGCGAGGCACAGTGGCCCAATTTGAGCTATTTAATCCCAGCTGAACCTGAGCCTGAGGCTGGTATTTAGAATAGGACACCTCCGTGTAGGGATGTCATGTCACCTGGACAGCCACGGAACCTGTGGCCTGTTTGTCTAACCCTCTTGTAGCCCACAGTCCTCGAATTCACTGAGTGGGCTGAGTGGCCACTGAGTGGGCGCCCCATGGGCACTGTGGCTGCTGATGGGTTAAAAAGCCCTCGGTGAGCCAAGGTGTGTCCCGCGGTGCGGGACGCAAAGTGGACGCTCCCCCTGGGAAGAAGCACGGGGACCCTGACTCTCTGCGGCTGGAAAAGCATGAATTAAACCTTTCCATTCTAAGTGATGCCGTATTTTTCAAATGTTACCCTTTGGGATTAACAGAGTAAGAAAGAGATGGTTCTTTAGCTCAGCACCTGTTCCAGTTAAAGTTATTGTTACCATTATTACAGTACATTTTTATCCTGCCATTCTTCTTCCAAGGAGCTGAGGTGGTTTACAAGGTCCTCCTCCTCTCCATTTTTCCTCACAACAACAGCCCTGTGAGGTGGGTTAGGCTGAGGGGCAGTAACCAGTCCCTGGCTGAGTGGGGACTAGAACCCAGATCTCCAGCACCCTTAACCACCTCACTGCACTAGCTCTCAAAAGGTCCCTTCAGAAGCCCAGTTGCCTGGTGGTTGGATGCAGTAGAGCAGGAACAAGGAACATGCAGCCTTCAAGGTGATGATAGACCACAGCTCCCATCATCCTTCACCATTGGCTGTGTTGACAAAGGCAGATGGAGTTGTAGTCGAACATCAGGCAGGTTATATGATCCCTAATCCTCCAGCAGACCAAGTTCTCACTCCCGCGGGGCTGTCTTGGCAGCAGCAGGACGGTATTTTCACCAGTTGGAGAATGACCTCTTCTAGGTCCAGAGAACAAAACTGTGATTTTAAAATGCCAGTTGCTTACTGCTTTTTCTTTGTGATTAGGTGGTTGTGGATACAGCACAGATTGAGAACAAAGAAGCGTATGCACCCCAAATAAGCTTAGAAAACTCTAGAATCGTGGTTCAAGTCCCATCAACTTGGTAATTATGACTTACTCTTAGGGAAAAAAAATTGAGAAAGCTTTAAAAAATGCTGAGAAAACCAACGGTTCATCCGAAGGTGAGCATTCTGGAGATGTCATATTGCGTTTTTTTCTCAGGTGCCTGAAAGAAGACCCGGCCACGATGTCCCTGCTGCAGAGAAGCCTGGATCCAGAGAAGACCCTGGGGCTGGTGGACGTGCTGTACACTGCCATGTTTGACCTGAATCGGTGGAAGGAAGGGAGGTGTGTGTGGCCTGCGCCTCAGCCTTCCCACCCAGACATCGGGGCGGTGCACAGGCGGTGCCTTTGTCCCCAGTGTCGGGGGTGACCGAGGTGGGAGCTCCGCCCGGTTGGGGCCAGCGGGGAGTGTGTGGAGGAGCAGAGAGGCCTGGGGCAGCGGTGGAGGGCAGTATCCCCGGGCACCCGGCCGGGTCCTCTGGCCATCTCTGCTCCTTGCCTGAAAGTTACGGCCCATCACCCAAGCCTGCTGGACGGGAAACGGGAGAACTTGTTGCGGGGAGAGGATACTGAATATCTTTGCGGCAGATGTGCCAGGAACCTTTGCTTGCTGCTTTGGTAAGCTGTCTGGTTTGACCGCTGGGTGTCTTGAGCATGAAAACACCTGGCGACCGGTAGACCGTTGGCTCAGTCCTTTGAGCCCTATTTGAGGATTGTGGCTCCACAGGAATCCTGGTAACGCTGGATACACAACACCTTTGGAAAGTGGCACTTGCTCGCATGCCAGAAAAAGGCTGTGCCAAACGTTAATTTCGTGGATAAAACATGGAAGGGTTGCCATTTAAAATGTCATCCTGGGAGAAGATGGCCATTTGGGCGAATAACTCGCTGACTCGGGGGGGCAGGTGTCCCTCCAGGGCCTCGCAGGCACCCTTCCTCTTGGGCTCCTTAGACTCCGGCCGCCCTAGCACGGCTGAGGCGCCCATGGAGACCCCCAACCCCTAGCGGATGCTGTGCCCAGTGTCCGGCCGCCCCTGAAGGGGCCCACCTGGGCGTTCTTCGGCTCGAGAGCAGCCCGGTTGCTGTGGAATCAAGGGCTCCCTTTCTGCCTGGATGAAGCGTGCGTGTGAGCAGCCAGAGCAGCACTGCTCTCAGTGGGTTAAATGGCTTTGAGACGGGTGGAGCAGGATGGGGGCGGCTGACTGCCCCCCCCCCCCCCTTCATTGACTGCCTCCCCATGCCCGTTGCGGCCTCCTCTGGCTGTGTGTTCACTTCACCCCATGCAGGACTGTTACTCGGCTGGTGAGGTGCTCGGCCAAAGCAAGCTTTCTGTTTTCTTGACTGTGTTACGGTGTCGTCATACAAAGGCCTGTGTTGGGAGGTTTAAAATTGCACATACTGATGGCCACTTTTTCAAGGCAAGAGCTCTTACTGTGCAGAAACAGTTTACGAGGCCTTCTGTCGCAGGGTTTTGTACTGTGCTTTTATTTCCCACTAGTGGAATTCATCCATTTCTAAGAAACCTAAATTTCATGCCTTGGGCTTAATTCTCATACAGATGTCTGTGTTGTAGGGAACCTTGCCTTTTCTTTTTGCCTGAAATAGGGGTTTCTTGTTGTTAAAACAGGGAACAAGCCCTGCCCTGCATTCAGATCCAGCTCCAGCGCGAGATCAGCGATTTTGGGGGTCACACTGACTTACCCTCCGGAAATGGAAGCAAATCGACCGGTGGCTTGCAGAAGACTTTCTCAAAGCTGACTTCCCGATTCACAAAGAAAGCGTCCTGTGTGAGTTCAAACAACAGTGGTAGCTACTCCATTCCCAACATACCTTCCAAAAACCTTTTTATAGCTAACTCAGAGGATAAAGCAAAAATCTCCAACAACATGGATGCCCGACTGCAAAATATCTTGAACATGGGGAGTTTCCCCCGGCCTGTCGAGCCGGCCCAGCAGAACCTGGGCCACCAGGCCGTCAATGGGTTTCTCCTCGACCGAAGCGGCAGCCTCCGAGCAGAGGATGGCAAGGATGCCAAAGGTATGAATTTGCCAACGGACCAAGAAATGCAGGAGGTCATCGATTTCCTCTCCGGCTTCAACATGGGCAAGTCCCAGCAGGCCTCACCGCAGGCAAAACGGAGGAACTCGGTGGCCTCGTCCTCCTCAGCAGCGGAGCAGAAGCCGGCGGCCACGCACCAGCAGCCGCAGCCCTCCTCCCACGCCCCCTTGCACCCCCTGCCGCAGGGGCCCCCGCAGCCCCCTCCCCCACCGCAGAAGCCCCCGCAGCAGCAGTACTATCAGCACTTGCTCCAGCCCATCGGCTCGCAGCAGCGCCTGCCCGGCAAGTGGCCGGCCGGTTCTGGCCAGCAGGCGGTCAACCCCGGCCTGGCGCACTTGCCTCAGTGGAGCGGCCACACCTTCTCCGATCTGAGCGCCGACCTCTACAACTTGGGTCTTGTGAACAGTTACATGGACAACATGATGTCAGAGATGCTGGGGCAGAAGCCGCAGGGGCCGAGGAATAACACATGGCCAAACCGCGACCAAAGCGACGGGATCTTTGGAATGCTGGGCGAGTTCCTACCCTTTGACCCGGCAGGTGAGTGCCTCTTCCGGGCTCCGTCGGCAGGTGCAGCACCCCGCCGCCGGTTTGCCAGATGCTGCCCGTCTGTGGGTCTTGGCATGGGGTGAGGGACCCTCTTCAAGTTGGTCCGGAGTGTCTTATTGGTGGAAATAGGACGCCAAGGCTCTAGGCCAGCCTTCCCCAGCTTGATGCCCTCAGGAGATTTTGGTCCTCAACTCCCATCAGCCCGAGCACCACGGCCAGTGGTCAGGAGTTCCAGAATCAAGCTTGTGGAGGGCACCAGGTTGGAGAAGGATGCTGTGCCTGCAGCCCTGGTCTGAGAGTGCATCTCCGTGTGTGAATGGCTTTCCTTTCATGAATAGCCTCCCCCGTGCACCGTGATCCATGAGGCAGCTGCCACTTTAAGAGCTTGCCAGACCAAATTTGTGCTCTGCTGTTCCCCGCATGGCGCTGGGCTTCCTCCAGAGCAAAGCGGGCTGGAAGGGAGAGTGTTGTCCACCTGCGTACTGCGATGGGGCAGTTCCCACCTGGAGCCAGCTGGCTTCCCAGATTCCTGAAGAGCATGAGGCTCTCGCTTCCTCCCCTGCTGTTTGGGTGGATCCCGCACCCCTCTCGCCATAGAAACAGAGCAAACAGAAGGGGTCTCCCGGCCATCTAGTCTGACCCCCGGCTCCAGCCGGCTCTGCCATGTTGACTTTGCTTGGGCTGGGCCAGCCTTCCCAGTCAGAAGGACCCTGGAGGTTTGGGACAGCACCAGGTTGGGTAAGACTGGGCCAAGTGACAGATCATGTGACTGGCTGGACTACATTTCCACCTCCACCTCCATTTCTTAAGTTCTGGACCAGCTTTGCAGCCTCAAGATCACTTATCACAGACTTTGAGAAGCCCTTCTTGGTTTTGCAAATGCTGAATATGCTCATGGGGCAGAAGAACTCTGATGGGCGAGGTGGGACAGCCCCCCTCGGGGCAACTGGTTAGACTGCCCAGCTTTTTGGGTCCCCTCAGCATCGTGGTGAGTTTACGATGGCATATTCTGAATAGGCGTGCATTTTATCTGCATGGAATAAATATCACATGTTCAGAGGAAAGTGTGTTGCCGGCAAGGGAGGAGGAGAGCAAAAGCAGCCGCTGGGGCTCCTCCGTAAAATGTCTGCCAAACGCTGGGAAAGATGCCGCCGCCTCGTTTCTTTCCTGTGCGTGCTGTTCGGATCCAGAGCGCCGGCCAGTCTCCTGAGCCGTTCCGATTGTCCTTGGCAGAAACAGTTGGAGCACGTGCTGCTGCCGCTGACGTGCGGTGAGCCCACTGAGCTTACGAAGTCGCCCCTGCAGAACGGGAGTATTGCAGGAACGCCAGGACAGAGTGCGAGTTGGACGTGTGCTGGCCTTGCGAGAAGCCTGTTGCGGTGGCATGTGCCCTGGGTGGGTGGGGCGGGGGGGGTCCATGCCCTTGCCCAGAGCACCAGGAAGTGAGACCACAAGGCAGTGCCTGCCTCCTGCACCTCCACCCACAGCCCCGCAGGGCCTCCTCCCTGGCGCACGGATGGGATTGGCAGGGGGAAACGAGGGGACACGCTCCCCCGGGCCCCGCCGAGGACTGCCGCATGTCCCTGAGTCCCGGGGGAGGGCATCCTGGCCCCATGGCACGCCCAGGGCCTGTGTGCGCCCCTTGCCCCTTCGTAGCTTTGTTCAGCCAGGTAGGACTGGCCACCTTTGCCTTGCTTTGCTTGGATTTTGCAGTGAGAGTCAGGGTGGCCGTGGCGGGAGGGAAGGAGAGGGGACATTCCTTTCGCTCGTTATCTTTGGAAAGCAATCTCGGAGGAGGATCGGTGTGCCTCCTGCTTGCTTGCTTGCTTGCTTGCTTGCTTCCTTTGGGCATTCCTCATCTTTATGACGGAGAATAATCTCTCCTCACAAGAGGAATGCAATTCTGGAACCAGCTTTTCCACAGCCCTGGTGGGCTGCCAAGTTTTGTAGCAGCAGCGTGGTGGGAAGAGGGCTCGCCGAGACGCCTGTGGATGAACGGGGGCGGCAGCTGCTCCGGCTGGTCAGAGCCCCTGGGCCCGTTTGCCTGGCATGGGGAGGACTCAGCCCGAGGGCGGAGGTGTTGGCGTCATGACGCTCACTTCGCCCACCTTTGGGTTTGGGTTGAAGCTGGGGGTTTGCTCTCCTAAGGCTGAACGTTGCGCTTGGTTTAGCCTAGAGGTTCTGGCCTGCTTGCACCATGCACACGTGTGTGGCAGGCAGTCTCGCCGTCCGCTGCTGTCGGTCGGGCGCCTCGTGTCCTGTGTGGATGTGCGCTCCAGGCAGACGGTTGGGTGAGGGGGGCCCGGTGCAGAGACAGTCCACCGTGTCCGCAGCTGACTGCCCCCTGCCTCTCTTGTGCCCAGTTGGCTCCGACCCAGAGTTCGCCCGCTACGTGGCTGGGGTCAGCCAGGCCATGCAGCAGAAGCGGCAGGCGCAGCACTTCCGGCGCCCAGGCAACGCGCGCGGCAACTGGTCTCATCCCGAGGACCCTCACAGGACATGGCCCTTCCCGGACTACTTCACAGAAGGGTGAGGCGCTTCGCACACCGGCACGAAATGCCCCTTCGCTTGGCGCCCTTCTTGCTGCTGCACAGGGGGGCCAGCTCCAGGGGGCCCTGCGTGAGGGTTCGTGGGGGGCTGGAGGGGCACTCCCGTGCCATGTTAGAGGGTTCCGGCCCGCCTGATTAGCATTCCCCTGCCTAGAAAATTCCGAGGAGAAGCCCTGTGAGGGCTGACTCTGGCTGCCTGAGTCACACGTAGAGCCGCTTGGGCCTGGAGCCCCTGACCCCTGCCTCCCCCCATCTCTCCCCAGGGAGATGGCGAGCAGCTGGTCGGGGACTCAGGGCGACTCGGCCAGTTCCAGCGACGAAACCTCCTCAGCCAACGGAGACAGCCTGTTTTCCATGTTCTCAGGGCCGGACATCATTGCTGCAGTCAAGCAAAGAAGGTGAGCAGAAGACCCCCACCCACCCGTCCTTGGAAGAGCAGAAGGGGGACTCTGGTTTTGTGGGTGTCCCTGCCCTCCTCCGGCCGAAGGGACTTTGCAGGCCGCTCGGGAGCGTTCCTCGCCTGGCTGCTCTCACAGCCAAGAGGGTGCCCCACGGAAGAGCTCCGTCCTTCTGCCAGCTGGCGTTTCTCCCCCTGGGCTCGCCGTTGCTTCAGCTCATGGAGACAAGCACCACAGGAGCCCCGGGCCAGAAAGCTGGGCAGCCCCGTCCATTTCCAGCCACGGTCTGGGCCATTGTGCCCTGCACGTGCCTTGCCAGCTTCGCGCCTGCTCATTCGAGCACACGCAGCGAACGCTCGGAAAGCAGCACCGGGTTGGCTGTGTCAAGTCTCTGCCGGAACTGCAAGCTTTTCCTGTGCTATCCTGTGGATTGGAGAGAGATGGAATAAGCTGCATTTGAAAGTGGATTGCAGCGAGACAAACTTTGCTTTCTTACAACAGTCACCTTTTTCCAAGCACAAGTTTACTCTGTCCCGTTTCCACACTAGCCTACCAATTATTCTAGCATTGTTATGAGAACTTAAATTTATTTCTCCCCCATGAATGCAGTTTTATATACAACTTCTCCTAGTTTGCAGTTTTTGATCAAGACTGGCATCACAGTTTGCCAAGAATTTAGAAACCCATTTGGATAACAGTATTCGAGTTGATGTGCCAGGTCTGAGAAATGTGCGTTAAGTTGCATTAAAGGCCAGCCAAACCACTTCCCCTCCATTCCTAGCTGTGAATGGCTGGTTGTGCTCAGTGGCACATAGGCGGGGTGCCCATCGCACGCCTAGAGCAGGCCCAAGTCCTAGAAAGACTGTGTTGAAACAAATGGAAGACAAAACAGCGGCCCCCAGGCTGGAACTGCTCGGTCCACATGCCAGTCTCCAGGAAGGGGGATGCTGAGCAGGGCGGTGGCCATGGGCCCACCGCCTCGTATAGGCTGCCTCTTGACTTGGGGATCTTTCCGGCTTGGCTTCAAGGGACGGGAAATGGGAGCTGCACCCAGGGACATGCACGGAAGGTGCGGTTAGGATTCTGCCAAAAGGTGCTGCAGCCCTGGAGAGTTTGGACGAAGGAGGACAGCTGCTCTGAAGTGCTGTTCACCAGCTCCTTCGTCGGCCGGGGAAGTATTTCTTCCGGCCCTGGAGATACTTCAGAGTAGCCAGGAGTTCTTGAACCATGTGCTTGCTTTCTGGAGGGCCACAAGCCGCTCGTTATGTCATGGGTCCCCAGTGGACAAAGAGACCCAGCCCTTCTCCTGGGAGAAGGCTGAGGCATCACCCCCTTCCCGCAGCCACGACCCTGCTTCTTCCTTGGTCTCCTCCTTGGTTCAGAGCGCCAACGCTGCCCTTTCTCCGCAGGAAGCACAGCAGTGGGGAGCAAGATCCAAGCACGCTTCCTTCTCCGCCACTCTTTTCTACAGTGGATGATCATAACCAGGCAAGTATGAGATTCAGGGCTGTGTTTCCCAGAGACCAGTCACGGAGGCACCCCTTTACTCGGCTCATGGCCGGCTGCTTAAAACGGTTCCTCCAGGGGAAAACCATGTCCTGAATTCGGTGGCCTTCGGAGACGGCCTGTGCTTTTCGGAGGGGTTTCACTTTTGGCCGACTCTGCCGTCGCCGGCCCAGGAGGCTTTTCTCCATTGTAGATGCGTTCTTCCTGTCCTCACTGTCCGGAAGCTGCTCCATGCGTGGCATGAGCACTGCCTGCACAGAGGCTCTCCGCCCACCACACCACGAGCCCTTCGCTTGGACGTGTGGGCGCGTCCTCCATGACGGGCTGCTCAGAGAAGCAAAGCGCTGGAGCCTCGTAGGCGTGGCAGGAGAAGGCCTGGCACGGGGACGGACGGGGCCAGGGAAGGACCCGGCTGGCCTGCTCTGCCCTCACAGCCTGCACCTGGCAGTGGCACGGGGCCAGTCTCCCTGTCGCGCTTGCAACAGCAGCGGCCACATCCCGCCTTCGGCTCTTCGGCCCTGTGGGGTTGGGAGCCTCTCGGGGGAGGGGAGGGGAGGGGAGGGGAGGGGAGGTCCTCGAAACAGGGCTGGGCAGATGGCCAGGCCTGGGCCTGAACGGTCTGCCCAGTTTGCCATGGGCCTCCCCGGACACAGGAAGCCGCTCCAGGGGGCAAAATGGCCGGGGTGGCCCACCCTGTGGGATTGCGCAGGGCAAGCGAGCGGGATGTCCCGTCCGCGCCTCCGCTGTGCTCAGCCCTCGCCACCGCTCTCTTGCAGGACAGCAAGACCAAAACCTGGCCCCCAAAAGCCCCTTGGCAGCACGCGCTGCCCAGCCAGAGCCTGCCCTTGTACCCAATGAGCAGCGCGGCCGGCCAGTGGAACGACACGGCGCAGATGCTGCAGTCGCCCGTCTGGTCAGCCGTCAGCGACTGCGCTCCCTCGGCAGGGCTCTCCTCCTCCTTCGCCTACGTGCCGCCGCCTCCGCCGCCCTCCCCGCCGCCCCCGTCTCAGCACAAACCGATGAATAAGGGCTTCAAACCGTTCCCGGCCAAGCACGAGCGCAGGCCCTCGTACATGCACCAGTACTGACGGCCCATCTCTCGCGGGAGAGGCAGCACAGGACCAAAGTCTCGGACACGACACGCATTTGCTTTGTCTTACACTTGTGCAGTGGTGACTGTCTTCTGGTTGTTCTGTGAAGTGACCAGCTTCTTGCGGGGATCCCCTCCCTCCCCCCCCTCCATCTCTCTCCTCCTCTCTCTCCCTCTCCTCTCTCTTTACAGTGCTGAGCAAATGGTGCCAAGGTGTTAGCTGAAGACCCATCAGCCCCAAACTGTGATGCTTTCCAAGCGTATGAACTTCCCTGCTAACAAACTGCGACATTATTACCACAGAGAGCACTGTATTTTATAGCTATTTTTTCATATAGATTTATAGCTCCCATTTCTTGCTACAACAAATTTGAGTATTTTTAAGCAAACCTAGCAGTTTTGCTCAACACTCCTTTTGTTTAGATTTCTAATTGACTAGATAAGGAAGTCTTCACTCTGACTACGAAGGCTGCGGTGACTTTTCAAAATGCATTGGTTGTTTGCATGCCGCTCATTCTCCTTGTCGCAGGGTGGCGTGGAAACAACCACAAAGCGGGCGTTCCCAGGCGTTTCCTTCGTGCAGAAGCCCTGGAACGGCTGGCTTTGCCACAAGTTACCTGGCCACCCAGCGGGCACAATCCACCCCGTACCCCGTGCACAAGCTCCGTATGATGGGTTGGGGGATTGTACGCCTCTGCAGCAGACACTACATGTGATACACAATTTGATACTTCTACATTGGCCAAAGGCATTATCCATACCGTGCTCCTTAAATGTATGAAAGAATTGTTAAGACTACTTGCAAATATTTAAAGTCTTATTTCAGTGCTAGACTTAGTGTGTAAAAACATGAGCTGGCTCAGAAGAGAGAGAACTTAAAACACTATTTTTTGTAGTGCTAAGGATTAAAGTAACTACTTTCAGTCAGTATGTGCCATTATATAAGTGAACCTGTGGAATTAGGAAATACCTTCCAACCAAAGTGGATATGGGGGAATGACTGGTGCTTAAATTGAAAAAAGATAAAAATGTATAGCTATCCCATTGTATATTAATTGAGGTGAGAGAAGTCTTTATAAAACCTATTTAAATTTTCATATTTCATCTTTGAAAGAGTAATTATAAACCACAATATTTTCTGGTATAAAGGTTTTTGACAGTATTAATATTATTTTTATATTTTCTTAAGTCATATCATTCTAATACATTGACAAGTAAAATGGGTTATTAGTTATAAATGCATATAGTTTTTGATGAAGATAAAAGCACATTTTAAGTTCCCATTTTCTACAAACTAAGTACATGTGTATATTAAAGATACCAAAATATCTATAAATATCTATAAATAAAACACAACACTAAAAGTCGGGGTGCGGGGAGCCACAGCCGCCCGCCCGCCCGCCCGGCCTCTGCTTGTGCAGCGAAGGGCCACCTTGGCAGGCCCAGAATGTTCCTGTTTGTGCTGGTTGGAGATGCCAACGTTGCCTGTATTTATGGTATTGTCACCATGTTTCCTGGAAACCCATTCTTACCATGTTTACAGAGTTGTTTGCTGTGCATAACTTTACAGTCATGTGCTTGGCACAACCAGTGTGGCTTCTGTCTGTAAGTTGTTAATGTTCTGTACTTTCTGCTAAAACGTTGGTGAATTTAAAAAAAGTGGTTTTGCGTTTCCTCAACTATGCCATTGAAAACGTAGGCTGGGCCCTGATCTGTGCCGTGGTCACGTGCCACAGCGACCCCAGAGTGAGGTACAGGCGCGGTGTGCTGGCGGTCCCTGCGGAGCAGCTCGCTGCTGTTAGACTCGCCTGGCAAATGCCGGCACTGGCAGTTCCTCAGGCGGGAGTGAGCTGTGGAATTGCCGGGGAATCTCTCTAGTAGGTGCTACTCTGGCCCTCTGCTTCCGGTTCTTCGGGACACCGATCCTTTTCCCAAGCGGTTTGCACTTGGCAACAACTCTTGCCGCACAATGTTTCGCACTGCTGAGTGCCGGGGTTTGGTGCTTAGTTAACCTTTTCGCAGTACGTCGATGAATAGCCGATGCTTTGAACTGGAACTGTACATTTTGTATTTTAATTTTAAAGCACCTGTAAGTAAAAACAACCCTATTTGCTTTATTAAAGATATACCTTTAATAAGAGGTTATATCTTCTTAACATAAGACTTCTGCGGAAGTCAGTGAGCACCGTCACTGAAATTCTTTCAGGAGGAGCTTTTATTAACTTAGAAATGACCGTGCTCGAATTCAGAACAGCCCCGCCTAAGTGAGGCCTCCTGCTGCTTCTCCACCTTTGGGATCCTCGACCATTGCAGGGCGCAGGCGCGTTCACTGGGTGTGCAGGCGAACTGTACCTCGAATCCGGGGCCTCGCTCCAGCATGGCCTGCCCTACTTACTGCAAGTGTTGAAGGAAGCTTCAAAGTGGCGCAGTACCTTTGAGAAGCCGTTTCCTCTCTAGCCAGCCAGTGGTGTCGAGGTCTGAAACCCTCAGGGACAGAGGCAGAGGCTTCCCCGAGGAACTGTCCGGATCCGAACCTCAAAAGAGAAGCTAGACCCTTGCAGCTGGATTCTGCCTGAGGTTTTCATGGCCCCAGGGTCACAGGTGCGGAGCAGCATTTGGAGGGTTCCCAACCCTTTGGAATTGGGTTGATGGGTGCGCTACTGCTGTCCCCCCATTCTGCCCCCCGGACCTTCCCCCCCCCCCCCCCCCCCCCCCCCATCCCCTGGCAGCAGCTCCTTGTTCCCATTGTTTCTGCAGGTTCTGGCTGCCTGCCCTCTTTCTCGCTTGCGGGGCCTAGCCAAGGGAGTTGCCCGCAGGGCCTGGGCCGGAGAGGCAGGCCACGCTCCGGAGCGCCCTGGGCCCATCCCCTTGAGCACAGCACTCCTGGGCAGTCCCTTCCCAGCCTGCGACCAAGCAGGGACCCACAGCGGAGTGTGGGAGAGCATTTCCCCGGTACGTTACTAGTAGCTTCTGTCTCACACCACGTTGTTGTAACAGGCGGGGGGAAATACTTTTGTGCCTTATGAAGATGCCGTTTACACAGGAGCTTTTCCACTTTGAACGTGCCAGACGCTCTCGCCCTGTGCCGTGGTATCCATGGCATCAATTTCTCAAGGGTGTGCTAGGAATGATTGACGGCAAAAGGAGAAGGGGGCGGCAGAGGATGAGGTGGCTGGATGGGGTCACGGGGGCAGTGGGTGTGAGCTCGGGTGGACCCCGGGGACGGTGGAGGACAGGAGTGCCTGGAGGAATGTTGTCCATGGGGTTGTGATGTGTCAGGCACAACTTTGTGACCGACAACGGCATGCTAACTGTGCCACAGAAGTTCTGTACTTCTGAGCCTGGGAGTGGGGCAGATCTTCAGCAGAGGCTTCCCACTACCCCATCCAATCTTGCTGCAAGCTGGTAAGGTGCTAGTCCAGGGCAGTGCCTTGGTCCCTTGCTGAACAAAGTGGCTGAATTGCTTTAAACAGTATTTAGTACAAATATGTAACATTTTCATTTCATTATGGCCCCCTTTCTGGGCATTGTAACCAACAGAGGGGTTTACTGAGTGAGTTACCCTCTGGCTTGGCTTTCGTGATGGTTTTCAGTGCAAGTTGGAATAAGAAGCCATGCCTGTTTTGGGAACCCCTTTTACACAGTTCTCCAGGCAGGTTAACTGTTGGTACGTTTACAGCCCAGATTTCTTTCAAGGCTGCCTCCCCTTGCTTACCAGCACAAGCCTGTGAGGTGGGTTGGGCCGAGAGGCTGCGCCCAGCCCAAAGTTACTCAGAAAGCTTTGCAGCTCCGCAGGGCCCAAACCCGCGCTAACCAGCACAGCACACAGGCTGCTGTTGGCTAGCCATTTGGCCTCTCCCATCTCAGACCTCCGGGGGCGACCGACCCGTTACACTAGCAGTTAAGGCCATTGGCAGCCTAGCTCTCAAAGAACGGCTCTCTCTGCGGACTGGTGCATTCCGGCTTTCCATATGGTTTGGTCGTGGAAGGCTGGTGAACAGCAGCACCGGCTCCATGGTGCCTTCATTGTGAGCCACCCAGAAAGCCTTCAGGCTCTGAGGCGGCATACAAATGTAACGAGGAAGGTGCTCGCCAGTTCCTCCTCAACTATACTGCTCGGGATCCATGCTTAAGACCAGCTACTGAGGCTTCCTGTGTAAGTTAACTTCTAGCATGCTTGCTCCGTTCAGGCTTTGTATTGCAAGCTCTCCAGTCCATCTCCCTGTCCCGGACAACCCACCAGAAAAAAGTTTAACCACATGGCATCTTTCGGTAGACACCAGAAAGGAAATGCCATTCAGATCACTGCTAGCACATTAAGGGGCAGGTGGTGGGACCCATAAAGGGTAAAGCGACTAGAAACTGGGGACACTGGGTAACGGAAACAGGACGCAAGCAGTCAACTCGAAGCAGAATTTTATTTCCTTAATGCAGTTCATTTCCAGCACTCCCTGCTTTCAGTCGCATGTTTGTGGGACAATTAGTGCAGTATTTATGGGGATGAGCAGGCGAGGCAAAGCTTGGCACTGCCCTCTACTGGTGATGCAGTGCAAGTACAACGGGAATACAGAAGGGGAGAGTTGGCAATAAAGAGCAGCCTGGGTCGATGGCTCCAGGTTGCTCTGCAAGCTGCCCTCCGACAGAGGGAGCAGGTTACTGCGTTTGCCACCCTCGTGCCTGCTGGATCCTTTTCTTGCAAAGAGAATAAGAACTGTGCTGTCTTAAAAAAGCACAATGTGGCAGGTTTCCCACAGGGGTACATTCAAAGCAGCAGCTGCTGGCTCTTCCAAACTCTCTCCCTGCTCCCCCCAAAGAGGCTCAGTCCTTTTGCACACCCGTGCATCAGTCCGCAATGGTCTTCTCTGCATTCGGAGAGGGAGATGCGTCGGCGATGGTGGCCAGATAAATCAGGTTTCTGTGCAGCGTGTGCTGGTGCCTGAAGAGACAAGCCAAAGAATCCGTCTTGTGAAAATTCCAGCAAGCAAAAGGATACAACAGAATTCCTTAGCATATAAGTGACATTACGATCCAGCTTTCTGTTGCTCTCCCAGCACTAAGTCAGTGATATATCTAAATGGAAGCCCGTCTTTGCTTTTCTTACCATGGCAACACTTTGTTCCGAATTACAAAGAGAGCAAACCGTGGCAGGGCAGGATGCCCCCGTTTCAGCCACCCAGCTGTGCCCTCCTCCAGCAATGCTTCTCTGTGCCACTTGGCTTTCCATTCTGGCCCCAGCCAGCCACTGCACAGGGTCAGGCCTCCCTGGACTGTTAGCGAAAGAGTTTAGGGTTTTTTTTGGGGGGGGGGTACTTTTGCAAGTACCCCAAGCATGCCAATATGCTACTAGCAATAACACCGCTTCCTCACTGGAAATAGAAAGAAGGAAAATTATGTACAGTTCCGGTTGTCCCTCTGAAAAAGGATACCAGAGAGCTGGAAAAGTTGCAGAAAAGGGGCTGCCAAAACGGGCGAGGAACTGAAGCACTCCCCTTCAAACAAAGGATAAAGCATTTGGAACTTTTCATTTAGGAAGAAGTATGACAGGACGGCTGGGGCGTTATTAAGGTTAGGGTTCGGGCACACACTCTCCAAGCAACCCTATGATAATTAGCAAGAACTAGCAGATATTAAAACGAGGAGCTGAAAGATGCACAACAGGTGACTGAGAAGAAAGGTACATACTGCACACATTCTGCAGCTCTTCCTTTATTCTGGTACTCCACGATACACCGGATCAGTTGATCATTTTCATCTAGAAGCTGAAAGTCACAAGAGCAAAGCAGCAAAAAAAGGCATGTTATTGAAACCCATTCAACCATTGCAATTGCATTACGTAGTTCTGCTGGTCCAGGAGAGCAAAAGTCCAAAATCCAGAACTGGGCAATACAATTGGGCAAGACCAGTGAAAATTCATTGTAATGTTTTGAGTTCTCAGAAGTTGTTCATCAACTACCTAACCTGATGCGTTCCAGAGAATGCAAGAGCGCATATATGTTTGCGCCCTTTGTATTGGTCCTCGTAAAGCTATTACCCAACTATGTATTTGGATTTCATTCAACAATGCCTACACAATCATGACAGGGAACACGATTTTACAGAGCTTTCAAACACAGCCAATTGAAAATTACACCCTTCTATTTTCCGTTCAACATTTTACTTGTGGTGTTGTTAGTCGTAAAGTCGTGTCTGACCCATCGCAACCCCATGGACAACACTCCTCCAGGCCTTCCTGTCCCCCACCATCCCCCAGAGTCCACTTAAGTTCACACCGACTGCTTCAGTGACTCCATCCAGCCACCCCACCCTCTGCCGTCCCCTCCTTCTTTTGCCATCTATTGTCCCCAGCAATAAATTCTTCTCCAGTGAGTCCTTCCTTCTCATTAGGTGGCCAAAGTATTTGAGTTTCACCTTCACTATCTGGCCTTCTAAAGAGCAGTCAGGGCTGATCTCCTCTAGGACTGACCGGTTTGATCACCTTGCGGTCCAAGGGACTCGCAGGAGTCTCCTCCAGCACCACAATTCAAAGGCCTCAATCCTTTGGCGCTCAGCCTTCCTTATGGTCCAGCTTTCACAGCCATACATTGCAACTGGGAAAACCATCACCTTGACTAAACACACTTTTGTCTCTGCTTTTTAGTATGCTGTCTAGATTTGCCATAGCTTTCCTCCCAAGGAGCAAGTGTCTCTTAATTTCTTGGCTGCAGTCCCCGTCTGCAGTGATCTTGTAGCCCAGGAAAATAAAATCTGTCACTACCTCCATTTCTTCCCCATCTATTTGCCAGGAAGTGAGAGGACCAGATGCCATGATCTTAGTTTTCTTAATGTTGAGTTTCAAGCCAACTTTTGCACTCTCCTCCTTCACCCGCATCAAGAGGCTTTTTAGCTCCTCTTCACTTTCTGCCATTAGAGTGGTATCATCTGCATATCCGAGGTCGCTGATATTTCTCCCAGCAATCTTAATTCCAACTGGTGATTCATCCAGCCCCGCCTTTCTCATGATGTGCTCTGCATATAAGTTAAGTTGGCAGGGCGACAGTATACAGCCTTGCCGAACTCCTTTCTCAATTTTGAACCAGTCAGTGGTTCCATGTCCAGTTCTCACTGTTGTTTCTTGACCCGCATATAGGTTTCTCAAGAGACAAATAAGATGGTCTGGTACTCCCATCTCTTTAAGAACTTGCCACAATTTGTTGTGATCCACACAATCAGAGGCTTTAGCGTAGTCAATGAAGCAGAAGTAGATGTTTTTCTGGAGCTCCCTATCTTTCTCCATGATCCAGCGTATGTTGGCAATTTGATCTCTAGTTCCTCTCCCTTCGAAATCCTGCCTGTACTTCTGGTAGTTCTCTGTCCACATACTGCTGGAGCCTCGCTTGTAGGATTTTGAGCATCACTTTGCTAGCATGTGAAATGAGTGCAATGGTGCGGTAGTTTGAACATTCTTTGGCATTGCCCTTCTTTGGGATTGGAAAGTAAACTGACCTTTTCCAATCCTGTGGCCACTGTTGAGTTTTCCAAATTTGCTGACATATTGAGTGTAGCACTTTTACTGCATCGTCTTTTAAGATTTTGAATAGCTCAGCTGGAATACTGTCGCCTCCACTAGCTTTGTTGTTGCTCAGACTTCCTAAGGCCCATTTGACTTCACATTCCAGGATGTCTGGCTCGAGGTCAGTGACCACCCCATCGTGGTCATCAGGGACGTTAAGCTCTTTCTTGTCTAGTTCCTCTGTGTAATCTTGCCACCTCTTCTTAATCTCTTCTGCCTCTCTTAGGTCCCTGCCATTTTGGTCCTTTATCATGCCCATCTTTGCATGAAATGTTCCCTTCATATCTCCAATTTTCTTGAAGAGATCTCTGGTCCTCCCTATTCTATTGTTTTCTTCTATTTCTTTGCGCTGTTCATTGAAGAAGGCATTCTTATCTCTTCTAGCTATTCTCTGAAATTCTGCATTCAATTGGGTGTATGTTTCTCTTTCTTCCTTGCCTTTCGCTTTCCTACTTTCCTCAGCTATTTGTAAAGCTTCCTCAGACAGCCATTTTGCTTTCTTGCATTTCTTTTTCTTTGGGATGGTTTTAGTGCTACCTCTTGTACAATGTTGCGAACCTCCGTCCAAAGTTTTTCAGGCACTCTGTCTATCAGATCTAATTCCTTATGTCTATTTGTCACCTCTACTGTATATTCATCAGGGATATGACTTAGGTCATACCTGAGTGGCCTAGTGCTTTTCCCTACTTCCTTCAATTTAAGCCTAAATTTTGCAACGAGAAGCTCATGATCTGAGCCACAGTCAGCTCCTGGTCTAGTTTTTACTGACTGTATGGAGCTTCTCCATCTTTGGCTGCAGAGCACATAGTCAGTCTGATTTCTGTATTGACCGTCTGGTGCTGTCCATGTGTAGAGCCGTCTCTTGGGTTGTTGGAAAAGAGTGTTTGCTATGACCATTGTATTCTCCTGACAAAATTCTACCAGCCTGTGCCCTGCTTCATTTTGTACTCCAAGGCCAAACTTGCCTGTTATTCGGTTATCTTTTGGCTTCCTACTTTAGCATTCCAATCCCCCATGATGATAAGGACATCATTTTTTGGAGTTAATTCTAGAAGGTGTTGTAGGCCTTCATAGAACCGGTCAACTTCAGCCTCTTCAGCACCAGTGGCTGGGGCACAGACTTGGACTGCTGTGATGTTGAATGGTTTGCCTTGGATTCGAACTGCGATCATTCTGTCATTTTGGAGATTGTATCCCAGTACTGCTTTTCCTACTCTTTTATTGACTATGAAGGCTACTCCATTTCTTCTGAGGGATTCTTGCCCGCAGTAGTATACCTGATGGTCATCTGAATCGAATTCACCTATTCCTGTCCATTTTAGTTCACTGATTCCTAAGATGTTGATGGTCTTGTCATCTCTTGTTTGACCACGTCCAGCTTGCCTTGATACATGGATCTTACATTCCAGGTTCCTATGGAGTATAGATCTTTGCAGCATCGGACTCTCCTTTCGCCACCAGATACATCTGCAACTGAGTGTCCTTTCGGCTTTGACCCAGTCGCTTCATTCTTTCTGGCGCTACTAGTACTAGCCCTCTGCTGTTCCCCAGTCGCACGCTGGACACCTTCTGACCTGAGGGGCTCATCTTCCGGCATCATATCTTTTTGCCCTTTGGTACAGTCCATGGGGGTTTCATGGCAAAGATGCTGGAGTGGGCTGCCATTTCCTTCTCCAGTGGATCACGTTTTGTCAGAGCTCTCTGCTATGGCCTGTCCGTCTTGGGTGGCCCTGCATGGCAGAGCTCACAGCTTCATTGAGCTACGCAAGCCCCTTCGCCACGACAAGGCAGTGATTTACTTGTAGCACCCCAGAAATCCAACCAGAGGAAAATCTATTCCACAGGTATGCCCATGCCAGTGTAAGTGCTTGCATAAGTACGCGCATGCACACACACACAGTCTAGGCACCTGCTGTAGTGCATTACTGGCCATATGTATCCTCTTTTGTCATTTGTGCACTGACAGCTTAGGGACTCCCACTACACCCGTTCAGGAAAATAGTTCACAGAATGCCATTCCCCATTTCTTTTGTCTGGACTGTACCTAATACTAGGCTGATTCAAGGCCCATTCATTTTAACAAGTCCATTCTAACATTGGATAAAGACACTGAGAGCCAGTGTGATGTATCGCTTGGGAGCAATAATGCCCCTGAGCATGTGCAAAGCGGAGCGCATGCGCGACCTGCCGATCCGAGCACGGCGGAGCACCCCATGACCGGGCGCTGACGTCACGCCCTCGCTACCGCCGCGGGGTCGAGCCTGGGAGCCTAGAGCGGCTCTTCCGGGCCGCGCCCACGAAAACACCACAAAGGGCCGGCGGGGCCCATAGAGTCCCGGCGAGGAGCGAGAGCGGCGCCCCGCCCGCCCGCCCGGCGCGGTTTCGCGGGACCCGGAAGTGAGGCCCGGGAGGGCCGGGCGCCGCGTCCTCCGCCTCCACGGCGGCCCCTCGCCCGCCGCCGCCGCCGCTCACCCTCCGCAGCGTCTCCTGGTTCACCTCCGCCTTGCCCCGCACTCGCTCCGGCACGAACACCACCGACATCGCCGCGGCGCCTCGCCCTCACCCGCGGCGGCGCGGGCGGCCCCGGCGCGAGGCATCCTGGGAGCGCGGGGCCGGCGCCGCTCGCGCGGATTGGCGGGCGGCCGCGCCGGGGGCGGGCGCTCCACTCGGGCGCCGCTCCCCGGCACGTGCCGCGGAGGGGCGCTGCCGGGCGCCCGCCGGGCTTGCACCAGCGCGCCCGTCCCGCTGAGCCCTCGCGTGCTGCGCCGCAGCGACGCGCACACGCGGGCGGTCTGGGCGGGTGACTGCGATGGGGACGGAACGGGGGAAGGGGCAGCGGCCGGGCGGGCCGCTTCCGCGAGGCTTCGAGCACACGCTCTCCTCGGGGCGGCGGAAGCAAACGGGCCCGTGGCAGCTTCGGGTCCCGTTCAGACCTGAAGGGCCAGCCTCAGCGAGGGGACGGGCAGAGCGGCGCTAGGACTGCCGAGAGGGAGTCGCCAAGGCCGTCTGAAGGCGCAGCCCGTTTCCCCGCCGGGAAGCGGGCAAAGCCGCCCGCGAGCCTCCCCGCGGCCCCGCTTCCTGCGCTGTCCAGGGCCCGTCTCTGCGTCTGCGCTGCGCCTTCGCACGTGGGCGCCCCGGGCTGCCCCTGCGCCCGCAGCCCGAGCAGCTCGGCCACGCTCCGCTGAGCTGCGCCAAGGTGCTTCTTTATCCTCAACGCCCCCGGACTGCGCGCTTTTCGTCTGGCCGCACTCGAAAGAAAACCCGCCTGCACTCCCCGCGCCGCTCCCGGACGCGTTCGGCCAGGTCAGGCGTCCCCGGCCGCATACACCCTTTCGAGATGCCGCGTACAGCACCGCACCCATCGTCCCCAGCCACGGCGGGGAAGGCGGGCGCAGCCGGGCAGCGGATTCGCCCTCTGCGCCGCGGCGAAACCCGCAACGACGCCCGGCAGAGGGCGCCGCTCTGCAGGTCTGCGCTGTTTGCGCGAGAGGGGAGGAGCCTGTCTAGGACGTCCCCCGTTGCTCTCGGCGGCCGCGCTTGAGAGGCGGCGGCGCGGGCCACTCGGCGTCGGGCGGGGGCGGGCCTGGGCCTGATTGGCGGGCGGCGAGGTTGGCGGGCCGGATTGGCCGGCGCGGGGCACCCGTGCGAGGTTTGTTGTCAGGGCTCCGGTTGTCAAGGAGCGGCCAATCGCGGCGGGCGGCGGAGGACGGCCGGAGCCGCGGGGCCGGCGGGCTGCTCGGCCGCGGGAGAGCGCAGGTGGGCCGGGCGGCGCGGGCCGGCGCGGGAAGGCGTGGGCGGGGGTCGAGTCCTCGGGCCCGCCGGGCAGGTGGCGCGGGCCGCGGCCGCCGCCGCCTCCCTGTCCCAGCCCGGCGGCGCTGGCGGAAGGCCTCCGAGCCCGCGCGGCCTTCGGGAAGGAGGCGAGGGCCGGGGCCGCTGCGCGCTGCCTCCCTTCCGCGGCTGCAGCAGTGCTCCGGGGCCGCGTCCGCCCGCCGTGTGGGCAGCCCGGGCTCCCGGGGGCGAGCGCCTGGCCTCTTCCGGAGCAGAGCCCCGGCCTCTCCGCGCCTCCAGGGCCTGCTTCTGTGCTGCTCGTGGGGAACCTGCCGGCGGGCGAGCGCGCTGGCTCCGGCTCCCCTTATTTTATTTATTTATTTGTTTAGGAAGCTGCTGTCGCGTCCCATTCGCCGAAGCCTCGGGGCGGCTCACAACAATAAATAAATAATTAAAAATCAAAATATAAAAACAATATAATTGGAGACGACCTGGCCAGAAATATAAAATAAATACGTAATATTAATAATAAAAATGACATTTAAATAAAAAGGTCTTGGCCTGGCGCCGAAAAGCAAATAAGGACGGCGCCAGGCGGACCTCTCTGGGGAGCGCATTCCATAGGCGGGGTGCCACTGCAGAGAAAGCCCTCCTGTGGGTACTCACCCTCCTGATATCTTTCACTGAGGGCTCCCGGAGAAGGGCCTCTGCCGCCGATCTCAAGGAGCGGGAGGGCGTGTATGGACGTAAGCGCTCCTTCAGGTAACCATGCAGCGGGAGCGGCGGAGAGGGAGATGCGGAGGAGCGGCCCTGGCCCGTAAAGCAGGCAGGCACAGGGGTGCCCCTTCAGTTCTGGGGGCCCCTGTCCAGGCCGCCCTGGCATCGTTAGTCATTCCACTGTCGGGTTAGAGCTGCTCTCAGCACCCAGGCATCGAACAACACATTCATTCAAAGCTTTTATGTGCATTCATTTAACAGGCGAGCCCCCAAAAAGGTATATGAGGGACCCATCAGCCGGTTTAACAGGGCTAGTTTTGATTGAAATTGTTTCAGTTACTAGTGCCATTATAAGATGTGTTTATGGTAATTCCAAAATGTATTATTGTTATTCATGTTTTTATTGTACTGTCTATGCTTGGGAATTGCTGTGAGCTGCTCAGAACACTTCAGCTGTTAGGCCGTATAGAAATTAAATGGATAACGGCAACAACATCCAGACAGAGAGTTCGGCTGCAGTGCAAAGAAGCTAGTCAACACCTATTTCAAGGTTGCTTAACTGAGGCTCTACAGATTCTAGTGAATTATTTCTGTGAACCTGTTTTTCCCTGTGAAAAACCCAAGGTGCCTTCCATATTCTTCTCTCCATTTTATCCGCACTACAGTGCTGTGACAGTCAATGACTGGCTGAAGGTCACCCCACGAGGTTCGTGTTTGCATGGGGCCTAGAATCCAGATTTCCTGAGTCCCAGTCCAGTGCTGCAGCCACTACACTGCCCTGGTTATGCTTTTGTTCTGTGTAAACTGGACTGATCGAAATGATCTCCTCCATCCTTTTTTTATAGATTAGAGTTGCTTTTTGAGATTTGTCTCAGTTTCTGGAAGAAACAGGACACTGGAGCACATAGGAGTCAGCGGTAGGTTTCATCAGTTCGGCTGCTGCAGGACAGTTTGGAAGTTCGGCCCTTATACCTGGGGGGTTGAGCCCCACACATGCCGATGAGCGCAGAACACTGGGGCTAAGAAGAAGACTGCGGGAGCCCCAGCGATGGCAGCTGCAGTCGCCACCAAGACAGCGTGGAAGCTGCGTGAGTGAGCCCTTCTTGCCATTCTAGCTGCATGTCAGCAATGCCACTTCGGCTCACACGACCTCCATCTTTGTTCCCCCCAAGGCCTGTTGCTTACTCTCCCCACTTCCTCCTCATCTTGCTCCCCTGACCAGCCTCCTTGTCCTCCAAGGTGTCATTCACACCTGCTTCTGTGGGGATGTCCTTTGGCGTGAGACTGGGCACTGCCACACACGCCCTCACAGATGCAGGCACCCCACGCCGGAGCTGAGAAGCCCGCTCCCTCTTATGCCCCGGAGCAGCAATGGCCAGCTGCTGGGTCTCCCACCTGTGTGGCCCGCAGTGCCCATCAGCCCTCCCTACCGGGCTTTCTGGTCAGAGCTGCCCCAAACCCCTGGAGGGCCAGAAGGTGCCCAGCCCTGCCCTCAAGGATGGCCAGCATCTCCCTAAAACAGGGCAGGGGACTTGGAAGGCCAGAGAACGGGAGGGCCAAAGCTCTCATCAGCCCCAGCCAGCAGAGCGATAGTGAGGGCTCGTGGGGAAGCATCGTAGGCCGAAACATCGGAGGCGCTGCAACTTGCCGTCCTTGCTCTAAGATTAGAAGAGAACGGAAGTCCTCCTGCTAGCAAGAGTTAGCCAGTGTGCTGCTTTGAAGGCCTCTGTAGATTTCCTGTTTGTGGACAGTCCAGTTACAGGTGCGACGTCCACATCAGTCCATGGAGTTGTACTTTGGCTGTACAGGCTCAGCTATTCACTTTTTTTTCTCTGATAGTTGCAAACAATAAAAACCAGCATCGAGAAACGTAGGCATACACATGTGACTGGTAGGCAAAGGAACTCTCTCAATGCCTGCTAAACTTTTTGCTGGAAAAAGTAGTTCGTATTGAGAGCAGGGTGCATGTGCAGAATTTCAGGGCTTTGCAGAGAATGCTTGGCCAGCAGATTTCTGGAGTTGGGAGCGATCGGTTTGGCTTCCATGTTCCAGCTTGCCTGTTCATGTGCAATAAGGCAGTGTTTGGGTTCCCCTCTTTCTCTTTCCTCTTCTCTTCTAAAGCCCGGCCTTGTGCAAGTGCACTCGGCCATCCTCCTGTGTCAAGTGAGGCTTACTCTTAAGCATGTGGCAGTTGGGCTGCGGAGCTGTGTGCCCATGTTTGCAACACGCGCAGGCAGAACAGTCCCCTGTGCACCGCGCCACGAATAGCCTGCTCAGATGCATCTGGCATGCTCGCTGGCGAGCAGGGAGAGGCGGCAGTGGATCTGGCGCTGGCAGCGGGTGCTCATTGCTGTGTCTCTCTTTGCACGCAGAGGAAATCACTGCCCACAGCAGCAACATTTCTTCACTCGTGCTGGGCAAAAGCTCAGGCCGGCTGCTGGCGACTGGGGGCGATGACTGCCGAGTTAACATCTGGTCCGTCAACAAGCCCAACTGTATTATGGTGAGGCCTGGCGGATTTCTCGGTGGTGGTGGGAGGACCGGGCTGAGGAGCAGCGGCTTTGCCAAAGGGGCAACCCATCCTTTGACCGTGGCTGCAGCTTCATCTGCAGCAGCCGTTCGCTGTGCGGGTGCCGCCAATAACGTGATGCCACCCTCAGTCCCTTGTGTATTTGTGGAGGACCAGTGACGAGCGAAGAAGTCAGCCAGCCACACTGGAGGGGCCCTCTGTCGGCCAGTCCGGGGGCTCCTTGTGGTTCCAGCAAGAGTTGGCCCTGTACTGCAATGCCGGTTGTCTCAGACTGAGCAGCTGTAGCCATTCTTTTTATTTTCGCTTCGCTCTGAAGGACAATTATGGAGGCCAAACTCTCTTCCCAAGAAAAGAAACGGGGAGAAATGAGAGGCAGAAATTGCTGTTAGGTCCATCTGATAATCACAAAGGTTTCTCCATCTTTAATCTGCTTAGCAAACAAAAAGTTAAATTGTCGCACAATTTTTTAAAAAGACAATCAGTATATCTGTGGGTTAATCATTTCTCTTTCTTAATTCTACCAGCTAGCTGAGGCATAGGCTTGATTTCACTGTGTTTGCTTCAAAAGTCAAATTAAGCCATTTTCACCATACTGCTAATACTCTCAGATGCTGCTACAAGTTCAGTGTTTGAGTCGTGATTCACAATCAATTCACAATCAATTTTAAAGTATTTTCAGCACATTGATGTACTACCCTTGAGCTTAAGAATTCCTAGAGCAACTCTTGTGTTAAAGCAATAAATAACGAGTAATTAAATGGTGAAGGTGCCGGACATGAAGCAGAATTTACTTTGTAAGGGGGCGTTTTGCTGGACTTTATCTGCTACAATAAAATGCTGCAGCATCTGAGCAGCTCAGGAAGTCCCTGGGACCCCAGAGACACCCTTTGCCCCCACACGTGCTGCCTTGCCCCAGGTGGGGAGTGTTTAATATGTAGGGGGCCGCATGATGAGTACAGGAAGGCACCCGATTTCAGTTCTTGCTGGGGGTGCCAGTTTCTGGGTTTCTGCGACTGCAGACCAGGCCTTAAAGCTTTGTCACGGTGCTCCTTTCTCGTGGCTGAGAACAGCTCCAGTGAAATCCTTGGATCTGGCCGAAAATCCTTGGAACCCCTGCTGCAGACCCGCTCATTGGGCGGGCGGCCCACCGCTTCAGCGGGCTCACAGCTGCTTTTCTGTTTTGCCCAGAGCCTGACAGGCCACACCACACCCGTGGAGAGCGTGAAGATCAATGCCAACGAGGAGCTTATCGTCGCAGGATCCCAGTCGGGCTGCATTCGGATCTGGGATCTGGAAGCTGCCAAAAGTAGGCTCAAGGGCCCTTCTTGTGCCTTTGCTTCCTGAGCGGCCCTATTCTCTGAATAGCAGGGAACTAAGTGAGATTTGGTCTGTTTGGAAGGACTGTAGGGCTGCCTTTGCCAGCGTGGCGTCGGCCGGGTGCCCCGGGCCTCAGCTCCTGGTGGCTGGTGGCGACGATTGCCAAGTCAGCATCTGGTCCATTAACAAGCCCAAGGCTTGGCTGGTTTCTCGGTGGTGTTGGGGAGACTGGGCTGGGGAGCAGCAGCTTTGCCGGGGGGGGAACCATCCTTGACCGGGGCTGCGGCTTCACCCACAGTGGTCTCTGCCAGCCGCCACGGATGGGCTGCCCCGGTTGGTCTTCTGCTTGTGGGTTGTTCACCAGTTTTGAGCTTTAATGTGCAAATAACTGAGATGCAAGGAAAATACGGATTTGTCATTAAAACCCAGGGACAAGCCTGAGAGGCAGCTGCCTTGATAATAGACAATGCTGGTTTTCTGAGGCCATCTTAATCCATTTGTGAAAGGAAGTGTTCCTCAGCATCGAGGTTGTTGCAGTGTGATCTGCATGGGGCTGCCCCAGACACGTGTGGGGAAGTGTTTGGCAATAGTCGCCTGCCAGCTTTCTGGCACGCGCTTGCATCTCGGCTTTTCCCCTCCCTGCCTTGCCCATCCAGTTCTCCGAACTTTAGCGGCCCACAAAGCCAACATCTGCAGCCTGGAATTTCACCCTTTCGGAGGCTTTGTCGCTTCGGGGTGCATGGACACCAACATCAAGGTGAGGCCGCCCTTCCCAAAACCTCTAAGCGTCTGTAAAAGGGAGAAAGGAGACGTGCTAGGAAGCCAACGTCTAAAAGAGCGACACCTCGTTGGAGAAATGTGGTGGGCCAGACTAGGTGGGGTGCCTGGGAGCCCCTTCTGACTTGCTCTGCTTCCATGTTCCTGCATGAGGAGACACAGCAGCGCTTCAGCCCGGAATCCGCAGTACTGCTCTCTCGGGCAGGAGCCGCTTCCCAGCCCTCCCTGATTCTCCGTTGGGCATGCTGTGACACAGGCAGGGGCCCTTTCAGGTTCCCAACTCGCTTGTGGAGGAGCTCTCTGGCCACATTCCAGCAGTGGCGGGGTCCCAAAATGCCAAGAGCTGCCCGGGTGTTTCGGTGTCCCACGCTGGCTGGCAGTTAGCCTAGGAAGGGCCTGTCCCAGAGCCAGCAGGGGGCCCAAGGAGCAGTGGCTGGGAGGAAGCAGCCTGGCCCTCTTGGGAGCCTCCGCCCTGGGGGGTGAGGTTTACCTGCCCTACCCTGCCCAGAGCAGGCCTAAGATTCCCCCCATTGGAGCAGGGCAGCTTTCCTCGGGGTCCAAAGCTCCCCTCCGGCTCCCACAGATCTTGCCCCCAAGGCCTCCTTTGTGTGAAGTGAGTGGCACAGTCTTTAGGCTGCAGCCCGCTTTGAAACGGGAACTGTTGTCCGTGTTCAGGAAACACTGCTTGACCCCACATCCTGGTTTGAGATGGATGCTTTGAACTCTTCAGGATACTTAAAATCCCCCATTCTAAAATTCCCGCACCTTTCTGTCTACACAGCTTTGGGATGTGAGAAGAAAAGGCTGTGTCTTCAGGTACAAGGTAAGCAGCAGGCAGCGGCCGGCCCAGCAGGGCCCCCCAGGAAGCAGCTTCCGAGGCACGCCGCCCCTGTGCGTGCAGCCAGTACAGCGCTTTGTGGCGGGGCGACCTCTGAAATGCGGCGGGCGGCGCTGCGATGCATCAGCAAAGATGAGGTGTCTTGGCGAGGCTCCCCCTGCTTTGTCTTGATGGACTTAGAAGGTGCTCCATGAAACTGGGGCACTTCCAGGGGGCAAGAATTGGGCTGCTGGCTGTGCTGCCAGCTCTCCTGGCAAGGCTTTGGGTAGCCCAGGCAGGTGTGGAAGAGGCTCCTCCCGGTCGTGTCCGGGCATCCGCCCCGCGCCGGTCACGCAGCCAGGTCTTGGTTGGGGCCAGCCGTCCGCCTCTGATGGCTCCCATATCCCGGTTAGCAACGCCTGGTCTCTGGCAGTGCCCGCGACTTTGCCGAGTTCTGGTGTGCGCATTCTGTGGCACCCAGCTCTGGCCGGAGGTGTGCTGAGCCTCTCTCAACCTTGCAGGGCCACACACAGGCTGTCAGGTGCCTCCGGTTCAGTCCCGACGGGAAGTGGCTGGCCTCCTCCTCCGATGATCACACAGTGAAGGTATCCATGCGGCTCTGCCGGATCCTTTTGCCCTCGCCGGGACCCATTTGCAGTCCCTTTGTGGCCCTGCCGGCCACGGTGCCCCCCATAAAGAAAGGCTCCTTTGCTAAGCAGAACGAGTATCAGAACTGGTCACACACACCCTTCTTAGAGGCTTTGCCCTTCTGTCTCTTCCCAGATGTGGGACCTGACCGCTGGGAAGATCATGTCCGAGTTCACCGGGCACACTGCGCCAGTGAACGTGGTGGAGTTCCATCCCAACGAATACCTCTTGGCCTCGGGTGGCTCTGACAGGTATGCCCCTGCCGGGGAGGAAGGGATGCCGGGGTGCACACCGCCACCGTGTTTTGGACCAGGGAGCTGCCAAACCCAACCTGCCTCGCAGGTCCTTGTGGGGATAAGACAGAGAGGAGGAGGAGAAAAATGATGGAAGCTGCTTGGAGTTGTTGTAAGAAAACAGGCAGATATAAATGAAATTAAAATAAATGAAATCTTGGTGTAGAAATTGGGAACTGGGGAAAGAAATGGGCCAGGGGATGGAGCTAGCTCTTGGTTTACAAGCTATCATCCCAATTCTGAATGGAACCACAATCTGTTGTTAGAAGGAAGTGCCACTGGCTTCGCTGCTGGACCAGCTTCTGGTTGCCTCCGAAATGGGAGGGTGACAGCAGCGTTCTCTTTGTCCTGCAGGTCGATCCGATTCTGGGACTTGGAGAAATTCCAGGTCGTGAGCTGCATTGAGGAGGACGCCAACCCAGTCCGGTAGGTACCACTGGGTCAGCGGTTGCCTAACGGGGTGACATGGCGTGGCGTCGTTACCCCGCCTCACCCGCAGGACGTTGCGGGGGATCTGGCTGGGGGGGCCTTCCACCCCGGTTCTCCCACGTTCTCCCCTCGGGTCCTTTCCTTCCCAGAGAACATAAACGAAGGAGCAAAAGTTCTGCCTGGTAGCGCCCATGCCTGTGCTCTGCCTGGAAGTGCACTCGGTTTGGCACCTGCCGTCTTGCTCCACGGGATCCACTCGGCAGCAGAAGCGCCCTGGCAGCACTCCTGGCCACGCCTTGGCTCCAGCAAAGCGAGCCACTGGCCCGGCTGGGCCAGCCAGATGCTCTCCCGGGGGCCTCCGTTGTGGCCTGGCATGTTGGCCGCCCTCCTTGGAGAAGGGGCCCACGCGACCCTCCCCGCTTGCCCCCAGGTCCATGCTGTTCAACCCGGACGGCTGCTGCCTCTTCGCCGGCTGCCACGATTCTCTGCGCATCTATGGCTGGGAGCCCGAGCGCTGCTTTGACGTGGTCTCGGTGAACTGGGGCAGAGTGGCTGATCTGTCGATCTGCAGCAACCAGCTGGTGAGGGAGCGAGATGCGGGAGGCCACTGGAATGTCCCCCCTGCCCGCTGCCAGGCCCTCAGCATGTGCTGCTGTAGCAGGGAGCGTGCTGGCGCGCACCCGAACTCTGGCACATGCGCATGGGCCTGTGTTCCGTGATCCTTTCCATCCTCCGTCCATGCAAAGCTTTTGCATACCATCCCATTACCAACGTCTCAGGATAGTTTACAACCCGCTCAAAATAAGATAGAAAATGGTACAGCATATAGTGACAAATATAAAAAGCACAATTAAGACCAGTTAACAGTTAAAATAATGGGAGAATAAAAAGGTTTCCACCTGGCGCCGAAAAGAAAAAAGCGTTGGCGACAGGCGGGCCTCTCTGGGGGGGCCACTGCAGAGAAGGCCCTCCTCCAGGCAGCCACCCTCCTGATCTCTTTCAAGGAGGGCTCCCGGAGCAGGGCCTCCACCTCATCTCAAGGGGCGGGTCTGCAGAGAGGAAAGAAGGCGCTCCTGCAGGGATCTTGTGGCTTTCCCCGAAAGTGCGTGTCTGCGTCCCCCACCCCTTCTCCCGGTTATCACAGCCCACTGCCTGGCAGGATGGATGCTGGCGAACGCAGAGGTGTTCTGCCGGGTTGCTGTGAACACTGCTGTGCACAGAAAGCAAGCTGCTTTTCGAAGGGGAGTGGAAGGCCCGCCGGTGAGCCTCCCTTTCCGTCCTCCGTAGATTGGAGCCTCTTTCACGCAAAGCCTCGTCTCCACATTCGTCGTGGACCTCAGCCGAGTCCGCAAAAGCGGGCCGGGCCTCCACGGCCTCCTCCGGGACGACCGGCCCCTTGTCCATCCCTCGCCCGCGGGCTCCTCCCTGCGGCGGATCTACGAGAGGCCATCGACCACGTGCAGCAGGCCCCAGAGGTAACGGGCCAGGCCAGCTGGGGGGGGGGGTCCTGGCGCCAGGGGCCTCCCTGCTGGAGGGGGCGCTCCAGCCTCTCGCTGCCCCCTCGTGGCTTCCCGGCAGAATGAAGCACAGCTCGGAGAGCGAGCGGCGCAGCCCCAGCAGTGAGGATGACCGGGAGGAGAAGGAGCCGGCCGCGGAGATCCGGAACCCCGAGGAGTACAAGGAGATTTTCAAGCCCAAGAACTCCATCAGTGAGTGCTCGTGGTGGGGGCGGTGGAGGGGGGCTGATGTCCGTGGCACGAAGAGTCGCGCCACGGCCGGCCCGGGGGACCCTTGAGCCCCTTTCGTGGCAGCGTTGCTCCATGGCTGGCTTTTCCCCTTTGCAGCTCGCACCCCGCCCCACAAGAACGACCCTTTTCCTGCTCCGCCGGAAGACGGTGAGTGGGAACCGCTGTGCATCTGCTCTGCTCCTGGCCTGGCGTAGGCGGTTGTGATGTCCAGGTGGCGGGGGGAAGGTGGGGGCTCCTTTTCTGGGCCCTGACAGGCCTGGCGCTGTTTCCTGGAATCCGCACGGGGCCGGCTGCCGGAGCGCCCCAGGCTGCGTTGGGTGCCGGTGCAGGAGGTGTTCCCCGTGGCCAGCCCAGCGCGACAGGGCGTTCTCCGGGGATCGCCTTTTTCTCGTCCAGTTGGCTCTTGGTTTCCAGGGAAGAGCCCACTCTGCTTCCCCGTGAGCCGCCCCGGGGCTAAGGGCGCTCGCTCCTCTCCTCGCCAGATCCTGCGCTTCCCAGCGAAGCCTCCAGGCCGGGCCAAGCCGTGGATGTGCCGGTGCCGGTGCCAAGCCAGGAGAACGTACGTGCCTCACCGGCGCGCTTCCCCCCCCGCCGCTTTCCCCCTTGCACCTGACAGCGGGGGCCCGTAGCCGCGGCTGCTGACCCTCGGCCGGGGGCTACTCCGGTGGGTCGGGCTGCCTCCCCAGTCCCCAGCTGCCCCTGTGCTGGCGGCCTTCCTGCTCTTGTGCCATTTTTGGAAGGCCTCTGCTAAGGCTTCCTCCTGCAAGCAGGACTGCTGGGCTTGCGCTGCTCTGGAAGCCCCGTGCCACTGAAAAGAGCAAAGCGGGCAGAAACGAGAGCCTTTGGGGGTGCAAGGGGACAGCGACGCCCGGGACTCCACCGCGGGCCTTGCCTGGGCCCACCTCCATCCCCACGAGCAGCTCCTGCTGGGTGGCGTTCCGGCCTCAGTGCCGTTTTCCTGCGCTTCAGGAGGTGGTGATGCCCCCGCAGGGCTTCCCTCCTGGCGAGGGGGGCGCTGAACTGAACCCGGCTTGCTTCCTGGCCCCGCCCCATCTGCCTGCAGCCCTGCTCACCCTGCCGTGGCCCCCCAGAACAAGAGAGGCGAGCTCCCCCGCTCCAGGGGCACCCTCTGCTTGTTGCACTTCCCTCCTGTCCCAGGGGGCTTTTCCCGAGCAGCGCCCAGCGGTGCCCCTCGGCTGGCTCGGACGGAGCCCTCCTGGAGCGCCTGGGCCAGCGGCCAGGCATCCTGGCCGCCTCCAGGCCGCTGCCTGTTCCAGCTGGAGGAGCGCAGCCCACGCGCCAGCACGCCTCTGGGCGGCCACTGCGACGCGGCTGGGGTGCCCGCGGGCGGTGCCGGGAGGGGAGGAGAGGGGAGGGGAGGGGAGGGGAGGGTGGGTGCAGCCCCAGCGCAGCCTCGCTCGGCTGGGGGCGTGGCGGGCGCCGCACGGTGGAGGGCTCCCCAGTGTCTCCCCTCGCCCTGCAGCCTGACCCCCTCCCGTGGCCGCCGGTCGCGGCCTCCACCCCCATGGCCAAGGCGGAGCCAGCCGTGATCCCAGCTGCGCGGAACGAGCCGATTGGGCTGAAGGCCGCCGATTTCCTGCCCGTGAGTGCCTTTCCCCAGAGAGGGTCCTGGGCAGGGTGGGAGGCAGGCAGCTGCTGGCTCTTCCGGGGGGTGGGGGTGGCGTGTGGGATTTTCAACGGCACGCCTCTGGCCTCGCAATCTTGGAGAGGAAGGCCAAGCTGCCGGAGGAAGGGCTGGTCAAAGTGGGTGGGAATCGGAGGTCCCTGAAGAGGGGCGGGCGCGCTTGGGCCTGTGCACAGAATAGCGGGTGGCTTTCCTGTTCGGCAGGCTGGGCTGGCAAGGAGGCCCGCGCGGCTTCCTCAGCAACTTCCTTGACCTCAGCAAAGGCCGAGCCGGAGTCCCCTCACCGCTTCTCCGGCTCGTGTCCCCCCAAACCTGCTCCCTCGGGGCCGGCGGCGGCCAGCCCCGCTGCCTCCAAAAACCGCCTGCACGACTGCCCCCCCCCCCCCCCGCCTCTGCCTTGCAGGCTGTGAAGAGCCAGAGCTTGGCCGAGGTAGTTGATGAGGAGGCCATGTCCCAGATCCGGAAGGGCCACGAGACCATGTGCGTGGTGCTGACCAGCCGCCGCAAGAACCTGGACACCGTGAGAGCCGTGTGGAGCACTGGGGACATCAAGGCAAGCCGCCTGCCCAGTCGGCAGAGTAGCCCGGGGCGGCCTTGGGAGGAAGGCAGCGGAGCTTCCGCCAGGGTGGCCTCTCCTGCCGGGCTCAAGCACCCGCTCTGCACAAAAAGTGGCCCGGACGGCCACTTCTGGCACCGCGGCTGCTCAAAAGCGGTACTGTCTGGATCCGGAGCAAAGCTTGCGGGGCGCGGGCCTTCGGGGGTCCTGCTCTGCCCCATTTTCCTGACCTAGACGGGCTTTTATCCCCATCTTACGGACCCAAGCACAGATGTGAATTCTGCAGCGCAGATGGGTCTTGCGTGCGTTTCCGACGGAGACGGGCAGCCCTGCGGGCGTGGCCTGCCTCGTGGCCTGCCCTGGCCTGCTGCGGCCGTGGCCTTGCCCCCCGGCTGCCACGCTTGACTGGCGCAGGTCCTGCGGGGTGGGCACCAGCAGGGTTTGTGGGGCATCCCGTTTTGGGTTCGTGCCAAGAAGGGGAACAAGGGGGCGAGTCCCCGAGTGGCGTGGAAGGCCTTGCAGCGCCGTGCCCGCCCCTCCGAACGTGCCTCGCCTTAACCCTGCACCGTGCTCTCCCCGCCCAGACTTCGGTGGACTCTGCCGTGGCCATCAATGACCTCTCCGTCGTGGTGGACCTCCTGAACATCGTCAACCAGAAGGCGTGAGTCCCCCCAAACTGACGTGGCCCCTGGGTGCGGCAAATTTCCGTGTTGAGCTGCTTCCCTCTGGAAGGGCCACCGAGACCCTTTGCTGGGCTTGGCGGGCAGGAGGGAGCAGCTCGAGGCACTGGGGAAAGGCGGGAGGAGTCCCCGCGGCACCCCACGCAGCGTCCTCCTGCATCCCCGGCACGCGTCCAGCGTGACGGGCCTGGGCTTTTTCCAGGTCTCTGTGGAAGCTGGACCTGTGCACCATCGTCCTGCCTCAGATAGAGAAGCTTCTGCAAAGCAAGTATGAGAGGTGAGGCACCGGGAAAGGCGCTCTGCCTTGCTGTTTTGCCCCTCTTCGCGGAGGAGTCGAGGGGCCTTGGGCCCTCTGCTCGGGGTTTCTGGGCAGCTTGGTGCCAGCTGCACAGGCGCTCACTGTGCTCGCTCCCGGCCGTTTCTGGGGACGTTAAGTAGCGCTGTCCCCAGTGCCGCTCCCTGAGACCGGCTCCCAAGTCCTCGCCCTCCTGGTCTTTAAGGAGCTACCTGCCCCCCTGCCACACGTAATTTTCCCCGAAGCTCTCCCAAGGGCTCCCCTTCCTGCCTCTTTCTCCCCTTGGCGGTCCCGGCAGGAGGAAGGTGGTCACGTTGCTTCCCCTGCCCCAGGCCCAGCAAGGGTTGGTCTGTAGGCCGAGGGCTTCAGGCGGCCCTGGCTGTGGGGCAGGGAGGCCTCCTGCAGTCTCCCTCACTGAGCTGAGCTCTGGACGCCCCTGCGGTGGCTTGTGGGGATTCCGAGCAGGCTGTCAGCCGCCCTTTCAGGGTCGTTTTCCCACTGGATCTCTCTCTGCCCAGGGGGAAAAAAACATTTTGCCCATTGAATGGCTGTTTCTGGGACCCAACGGCTGAAGCGGGTGGCCTGCTTGCCACAAGGACCTCTTCAGAGGGCTTGGCAGCTGAGACTAGGCGATTGTGCACATGTCCCAGACCCAAACAGCGGAAAACAGGGCCGCTGCTGCAGCCAGACCCCTGGCAGGGTCCGGCCGCAGGGGTGGGCAGCTCGTGACCCTCCACTTGCCTCGCCCTTGACTGTTGCCCGGGGCTGAGGAGTGCTCAGCCAAGCACCCGGTGGGCCACAGTTTCCGCTGCTGTTACCAAATTGGAGAAGGGCGAATGTTTCTCGCTTTCCTGGACGTAGCATGCAGGGCACACGGGTCCTGAGCCAGACAGACCGGCATTGCAAATGGAGGGCGAGCGGTGAGAGATGCTCTGGAAAACGGCCTCTCCCGCAAAGGACGGCCGTCCTTTCAGCAGGTCTTCCAGGGAGCGATCGGAAGGCCGGCAGCGGGCTTTCCCCGGGCTCCGTCTTCGCGCCTCTGCCGGCGCCCCTTCTTGCCTTTCATTGTGCGGGGCTCGCTATCTGAGTCGGTTGTTCTATCAGTTACGTCCAGACGGGCTGCACCTCGCTGAAGCTGATCCTGCAGAGGTTCCTACCGCTGATCACGGACATTCTCGCTGCGCCCCCCTCTGTCGGGGTGGACATCAGCCGGGAGGAAAGGTAGGGCAGCTGGGTGGCCGTGGGGCGCTGTGGCTGACGCACAGTCCCCGCAGGGCCGTGGGGGGCGTGGGCTTCCCCAGGGCTGGTGCAGAAAGGGCGTCCGTGCCGTTTCCCTGCACCCGGGCACCTCGCGGCTGGGTGCACTCGCCCCGTGGAAGCCTGACAGCTGCAGGCTGCCCTTCCGGGCTCCCACGCCTGCCCCATTCCCACTGCCGGAGCGAGTCCCCCCCCCCCCCCCCCCCCCCCGGGGGGGCGCCCCCCCCCCCCCCCGTCTTCTGCAGAGGGTCTGCTCTGGGCATTTCAGCGCCAGCGCCCCGCCTCCCTCCACCAGGAGCAGGGCCTCATTCAGTGCAGCGCTGGGCTCTGGGAGCAGCCTCCCTGCAGGGGGCCTCTGGGTCAGACGGGCCCTTGCCTTCGCTTTCCAGCCTTGCCAGCTGACCTGCCCACTCTGCTAAAAATCACTTAGTGGCCGGCACTTTGGAAAGCAGACAGCCTTTCCTGGGCTCGGTGGGCCTGGGAGCGGCTGGTGTGCCAGGTAAGCCTCTCTGGTCCCCCCCGCCCCCAGCAGGGGCTCTCCGAAGCTCGGGCCGACCAGCACACTGCTCTCTCCTGCCGCAGGCTCCACAAGTGCCGCCTCTGCTACAAGCAGCTGAAGAACATCAGCAACGTCATCAAGAACAAGTCGGGGCTCAGCGGCCGCCACGGCAGCGCCTTCCGGGAGCTGCACCTCCTCATGGCCGTGCTGGAGTGACGGCGGCTGCGCCTTGCGCACTCACGCACCGCACCCGGGGACCCGGCCCGGGTTTGCCCTTCCATCCCTCCCTCCGCGGCTCCAGTGCCTTACAGGCCCCATCGCAAACCAGGGCGCCCGCCTGGCCATGGCTGTCTGCAGCGGGACTGGGGAACGTGGTGGGGGGAGTCCCGGCGTGGGCGCCGTCTCCTCCCCGGCAGCGGCACGAGCCCCCAGCCTTGTGCTCGGGGGGGGGGGGGCTGAGCTGGTCCGCCGTGGCTGCGCCGCCCTGCGCGTCTTCCCCTGGGCTGGGGACCGTGAGCCAGCTTCCCCCGCCTCTGGTGGGCCTCCCCTCCTTTTCTCCCCCACAGTGGACGTTGCCTCGAGCACGGCGGGACAGGCCGTCCCTTCACTTGTTGATACGCTGGAGCCCACTGTTCACGGACTGTAACTTATAACGGATTTTATTAAAACATTTGCAACTTTGCTTTGGCAAAGATGCCAGAAACTTTGTGCCCCTCCTTCTGCAACCAGACTTTGCCAGGGTGGCTGGCTGAGAGCCATGGAAGGCAGTGTGTTGTCGGGGGCTGGGGGAGCCAGGTCCTGGTCTCCTCGTGGCCACCAAGCTCCTTGGGGTGGCTTGTGGCCAGTCCCTCCCCCAGCCTCACCGGGATGCTGTGGTGAGGACGCGATGGGGCTAGGTGAGCGATGTCGCCATAACAACAAGAGAGAATCTTCCAGATACTTTCTTGGCTCTGCTTTTGATGGAAAGGGCCATGTGACACAGACGATCGCAGGAATACAAATCAGCAAGGAAGGGGCTAAAGCTTTCCCAGCAGCCTCCAGAAAGCTTCCCCCACTTATGCCGGTGCAGAAAGAACTCGCTGCTGCCTGCTTTGAGGAGACGGGAGGGACCTCCGAGGTGGGTTCTGTGGGGCGGGAAGGGGGAGCAGCTGGCTTACACAACACCCCGGAGCCATCTCTGCCTCCTCCTCGCACCCCTCCCCCCAGAAGGTCACCCTTGGGCACTCACATGCGCTGCTTGGAGGGGGCTGCAAGGTGGCCACTCCGCCCCCCCCACCACTCGCGGCCCCGGGTGGCCTAGCTGGGCAGCTCTGCCCGCCACAAGAGAACGGCCTCGTGTCCGTTTGCCTGAGTGTCCCTCCGTGCTCGGTGCCCACCCTGGCTGGCTTTCACTCTAAACCTTCAACACTCTCCCCTCGTTCTCTGTCGCAGTGGCGGCGAAACTCTGGCACGCGTGCCACCGCGGGCACACAGAGCCCCTTCTGCCGGCATGCGAGCCAGGGCGCCCCAGCAGTTGGTCCTTGGATAACAGGGCACGTGGGGGCCGTGGGCAGGTTCGGAAAGGAGTAGCGGCACCAGGCGATGACTTCATGAGCCACGACTCATTAGCTGCAACTCGTCCGAGCTCCCGCATGGCCGGTCAGTGCGCTGCAAGGGATACATATGTATTTGCTTGGATTGGCTGAGAGTTGTTTTTTTCTAAACGAAAACTGCAGTTTTCAGGTTTCATTGCAGTGTTGGCATTTTGCGATAAATAAGTGGGTATTGGATTGCAGTTTGGGCACTCAGTCTCTAAAAGGTTCACCATCACTGGGTTAGGGTTAGAAAAATGAGGTATCCTGGTATGATTTTGATGGTTGGAATGTGTTTAGAATGTGCAGAACTGATGAGCAGTGCAGAAAAAGCCACTCACGGAAGGGTTTTCCAAAATCGCCCTCTTTTCTATGGAATTTTACCCCAGTATTAAGGCTAGGGGAGTGCACTAGGGCAGGGTTAGGGTCAGGAAAACGAGGTGTCCTGGCATGATTTTGAGGGTTGGAATGTGTTCAGAATGGGCAGAAAGGATGAGCTGTGCAGCAAAAGCTACTCAAGGGGGGCTTTTTCAAAATCACCCCTTTCAATAGTATTTTACCCCTATATTAGGGCTAGGGGAGCGCACCAGGGCAGGGTTGGGCAGTGGTGGTGAAGCTACGGCATGCTTGCCACAGCAGGCAGGCAGAGCCCTCTCTGTCGGCACGCGAGCCAAGTCGCCCCAGCAGCCGAGCATCAGGTAACAGCGCACACAGGGGCCATGCGCATGCTCAGAAAGGAGAAGCGGCACCAGGCAATGACATCACGAGCCGCAACGCAATAGCCGTGACTCATCTGAGCTTTCACGTGGCCGGGCAGTGCACTGCCAAGGATCGATATGTGCTTGGAGTTGTTTTTTCTAAACTAAAACCTGTTTTAGGTTTTATTGTAGTGTTTGCACTTTGCGATAAAAAAGTGGGTTTTGGGTTGCCATTTGGGCTCACAGTCTCTAAAAGGTCTGCCATCTGTCTATAGGGAGTGTTTGCAACACCCCAGCTCTGATAGTGTGTATGGAGTGATTCAGTTCTAAACACAGGGCCTAATCCAAGAGTGACCTGTTCTTTTTATTGCTACTATTTTTCACATATTTCAAGGCCTTGTTTTTGCCGACTTCAACTTGCCAGTGTGCTGGATGGCATCAGTGGCCCTGGTGGCGCTACACGGCGTGGCGAGTCTGTCGCCCTGGCTTTCATTTGCAATACCTAGGTGCCCTCTGCGGGCCCCAGGGAGCATGGAGTGGATCTGGTTATGTCCCTTAAATTTACACCTCACAGGTCCATCTTTCCTATTTCTTGTCCTTTTAACCCAAGGCTTTGCTTCACAACCATGAATATTTTGTATCATTTGCCAGTGTATTTTCATGCTTCCTTCTAGGCTGGTTGCTATCTAATCACATCACGCTACAGTCTGAATAGCTGGATGGCACTCCAGTGTGTGGCTTTGAACACCAGGGCATACCTTCGGTGAGCGTGGCTCAACCCCACCCTTCCAGCGCCAGAGGAAGGGGCTTGGTCCTGCCACGCCCTGATCAGTCACCCAGCTAAAATCAGAGGATGCCCGCACAAGGGTTTCCTCCCCGTTTCCAAATCTATGGCATGTGTAGAACAGAGCTGAGCCCTAGAGCATCCCCTGGGGTGGGGGGCCCTACCTAACCGAGTGTCTTGCCTGCCAGAGAACTCCAGCAGTGGCGCTTCCTTCTTTCCTTCCTCATTCGGTATGGACTAAACCAGAGAGAACAAAGCAGACGGGGGCATCTGTTGAAACCACATTTTCATGGCAAGCTGTGAAGGATTCAAACGGCCCCCTCAGGGCAGCCCTTCTTGGTGGAGGCCTCTCCCCAACGATCTCCGACTTGTGGGGAGGGACATCCAGCTGGTGCAGGCCTCAAAACAGCCACTTGGGCTCCCACCGCCCCACGTGTTTGTGTTCCTGCCGCTCCCCCTCCCCGGGCAGAGGACCAAACGCAGAATCAGGCCATCGGCAGCTGTGCCCTTTGCAGAGGACTTGCCACGTTGCGCAGGGCAGAGCGCTTGGCAGCCCAGCCCTCCCTGGCTGCCACACTCCTTTCCGGCAGTGGAGAAGCACTGGAATGCAGAGACCCCTTCCCAGACCAGGGGAAGTGCTGCCTTTTGCACTCATAAACCTGAGGAAGAGGACACGGTCACAACTGCAGGATGCAGGATGTGTGCCATGCTGTCCCAACTGGGACAACCTGCTTGTAAATACTTTTAGAAGCATAGAAACAGCACGAGTCAGAAGGGTCTCCCGGGCCATCTAGTCTGACCCCCGGCTCCAGCTGGCTCTGCTCATGACATGCCCACCATGTGCATGTCCAGCCTGTCTTTGAACGCCCTCCCCAATGGGGCCTCAGCCACCTCCCGGGGAAGCCCATTCCACACCCTCAGGGTCCTGGCTGTCAGGAATTGGTTCCTGGCATCTAAATGGAACCTGGGTTCCCTGACACTTTTCCAAATTGTCAAAATGTGACAAGGTAGGAACAAATCAATCCTGTATTTTCCAGGGGCTCAACCCCAACACTGGCCCCTTCTCTAGGGCTTGCTGCATGAGGCTCCTGAAGAAAGCTGTTTGGAAGATCAACAGCTAGAGGAAACGGCCCCTAACACAGTGGGGGTTTCTAGCGGCTTTGACCAAGCCAAGCCAGCAAATGTGCCCCGTGACCGATGACGACGATCAACGAGATGCAGACCCAGCTCTGCTCCAGCCCAAGTCATGTTTCACTTCCACTCTTGCCCTCCTAGGCACTTGCTCGTTTTTCAGAACACGGAAAACGCAGAGTGCCTGAAAGCCTGCCTCTCGGTGCAGAGAGTTTTTATTCATTTAAAAACCAGAGCAATGGTGCGAAGGACTGTTCCCAACCTCCATTCTCCCTTTCAAAATGTATTAAAACTCGCCCCGTATCCTTGGGCAGAGGAACCATCTCCAGAAGTCCAGCTGCATCCAAGGAGAGCCGCACCTGCTTCCAGCAGCAGGTGAGGTATGGCTGAGGAGAGGCCTGGATGGAGCGTCTGGTGGAGACCTCAGCCTAGCCCAGGAGGAGCGATGGGCGCCGGCCCCGCTTTGGCTGCTGCTCCTGTGACTGCGCCCCCACAAAAGCCCTGGACACGTCTCCTGGGCCCGCGTGCGTGAGCCGCTGCGGGGTGGTCCCGTGGTGAAAGCAAGCGGGGCGTTCTGCACTCCTCCCAGGCAACCTGGTTTCTCGTGTCCAATTGCGGTCACACAGGAATCGGTCTCAGCTTCCCTGAAAAAGGTGAAGGAGAAGAAAGCACTCGTACTGCAGAGCAGTGGAAGCGGGAGCGCCACTCTCGGCTGCCCGCCACCGTGCAGCATGCAAGACAACCAAGCGGGAGGCAAGATGCTGCCTGGCCACTCCGAAACGTCCCCGTGCAGCATGTCATGCGACTCTAGGTCAAGGGTAAAATATGCAGCTGTGCCTTGCAAAACGTGAAAGCCCTGAACTTTGCCCAGACATTTAAAAACGGCCCAAATCAAAAGGATTTATGAAAGGCATTTATCTGTTACGACGATATTCAGTGTGGCCCTTCCGTAAGGCTTAGTGCTTAAATGTAGCATGACTGACAGCACGGAAATAGCTTCACAACATGGATCTGAAAGTGCTGGCATGAGAGGCCGGCAGGAGGGGAAAGGCACCGAGACGCCCACTGCAGCGTCTCCTCCGTGTGGGGAAAAGCCTGCCAAGGAGCTCGGCGTTCTGCTGCGTCACGCTCTGGGGCTGCAACATGTTCTGCCTGGCCCCACATGCGGGGACATTTTCCCCTGCAGGAGAGCTTTCATTTCCAGTTGTGGATTTTGCTTGCTTCACTGAGCAAAGGTGGTGAGCAGTCCTTGGTTAGCCGGGCCACGGAAGGGGAGGGCTCCATCCAGCAGGCTGAGGAGCAAGTCAGAACTCCGTGTCCGCAAGCTCCATCCCGAGTAAAGCGGGAGCATTGCTGGACAGGTGCCTCCACATCCAGAAGCCATCGGCGCATTCGTAAAGCAGGCTTCCCGGGGCGCTGGGCCAGCGGCCAGAGTCAGCCTGGTGCTACACACTGCAGCCATGCAAATGCCACCCGGCCAAGGAGCAGCATGCCGGCAGGAGGAGCTGCACCCACCCCCCTCTTCCCCCTCATGCCGGCCAAAGAGGGACCCTGCACCCTGACAAGCGTCTCCGCTCCAGTGCTTCCACACCTGCCCGCACTCACCTGGAGGCAGGCAGAGAATCGCTTAATTCCAAGCTGGAAACAAATGAGATACTGGAGGTTTGTTTCACATTCAGGTTAAAAGAACTGCAAATGGGCATGAGTTAGACTCCTGAAACAGCTGCCGCCGTCACGGCTGACAAACGAGATCCCCCTTTCCTGGAAGAGCAGCTATGGAGTGACTCTCACAGACCCACACATTACCAGAAGGTGGCCACCCCTTCCCACAACAGATTATCCTCCAACTAAAAGACCCTTTTGGATGTTCGTGTTATGGAGAAGGCGAGAGCAGAGTCTCCCCACGTTTCATCAGTGAAACCATCAGATTTTAAGGGATGGCAATAAGCCTAGGCTGTTTTTATGAGTGGTGGGCATGGCCCCAAAAAGGCCCCTCAGTGCTGACCTGCATCACAGGCAGATGGGAGTAAAACCACTTTTGCAGGGGGTCGGCCACCGGCCTGCTCATGTGCAATGGTCTGCCATACTCCCAGGCACTCAGAATGCAGAGGAGCCGGCCAGTTCCATGAGCAAAATGCAAAATGCTCAAGGTGCAGCAGGGCAGGAGGCGCCAGCAAAGTCGGCGTGAGGGGCCGTGCGCAGGGCCTGAACGTGTAGCAGGAATGAGCTGCTGTCACCCGGAAAGTGGCAGAGAGCTGAAAGGATGGTGGTCCCTTTAAACGAGGATGGCTGTCCCAGTAAGACTGTGCCCAAACTGCAGGTCTCTTTGGAGTGACCGGCCCGTTGGTCAGGGCTGTCTGAAGTTTGCATGTAAGGAGGAGAGGAAATGCCCAGGTGCCCTGGCACGCCGTGCCTGCAGGCTAAGTCCAAGCTGCCTGATAGAACGACTGAAGGGGCGAGTGCCCGCTGTGCCGCGGCTGCCACAGCAGGAGGCTGACTGTTAACGCTGTGGGCAACTTCTCCTTTCACTCCGGATGAGTTCTGTAAGTCCATGTTTTCTGGACCTTGGACGAGGGGCCACCCAGACACATCCTGCAAGCAGACCCAGCTCCATCCCAGGAGAAGATGCCAGGGCCAGGCAGGGCCCCTGACGGAGGCAGAGTCACCTACCGCGCCTCCAGAGAGCCCAAGGAATCCGCGTTAACACTCACCTGAACTCTGGAGCTTGGCCCGGAGCGAACTCGATCGGCCCATCCGAGGAGACGACTGTGCGCGAATGCAGGGCTGCAGAGGGGCCGGGGGCTCTGTCTGGAGAAAGCGCAGCCAGAGGAGGTTGGCTCGGAGGAAAGCCGCGCTGCCGGACCCTCGCGTCCCCGGAGGAGCGCAGCGCAGTGGCAGAAGCGCTCCAAGGGAGGCCACACAGAAACCAGCCTCCCCAAATCTGGCACGGGTTGCGGAAGCCAGAGCTCAGTGGAGCTGGGAACCGGTCAGTGGGTGGAAGGGCGAAAACGACGGTTCTCCCCACAAGCTGCGCCACAGGCCCTGCTGCACCGTGGCCATGAAGGGGGGCGGCAGCGGCGAAAGAAACTTGTGTGGATGTCTACATTCATAATCACACTTGAAACATGAATTTGTTTAAGATGTGAGATGTGCTATTTTTTTCAAAAAGAATAAGCTTTTTCATACTTTGGTCAACAGGGAAAAAGTGCACACTTTTGAAAACTGCACGGAAAGGAACACTTTCACCGTTCAGCTGAGCTGAAGAAACAGGTCAAAAACTGAAAGGGGAACAAGCCCAAACAAGCTGAAAATGCCTTCCAGAGAACGTAGGGCAGGTTGCGAATTGCTGGTTCTCCCACCCCTATTTCAGAGGCAGCCTCCACTTACGGACATTCTGTCTCAAACGTTATTTCGGGACAGGGAAACACCCCGGAATTTGACACATCCTTCAAGGATGAGCATCGATGGCAAGGAGAACGGCAATGAAGCGCATTTCTCCAGCCACAGGATCACAAACCAAAGCGGGGCGACCGACGGTCAGGCACGTTCTCCCTTGCGCGCGAAGGCAGCTTTGGGGGGGGGGGGGCGGAAGGCACAGGGCTGGGCAGAGCACCCAGCCTGCACGGATCCTGCCCACGCGGCCGCCAGCTGCCAGGGCCGAGGTGCAGCAAGGCCCGTACTTCACCACCGCAGAGCATGTCTGCAAATCGAGCGCAGTCACAGAATGACCGCAGCTCTCGGCCTGGCCCACCCCCATCTCTCTCTCTCGCTCGCTCGCTCGCTCTCCCCCACTTCTTTGTTCGCCTGTGGAAGGCAGCCTCTGAGCGGGAATGGTCCCGGCGTGTGGGGTCACTCAAGAACAGAGCAGGGCAACTTGGGGCCCCGCGGCCTAAAGCTCCCGGCGTCCTCACCATGGACTCCGCTGAGGAACCACAGGCCAAAACTGCCAGGGACCCCAGGCCACTCATCCGCGCCCAGGAACAGCCGCCTGGTGTTGAAGTCCAACTTCAGCGTGACAGGAATGCTCCCAAAGCATGCCTCTGATGGCAAATGCAAGACCAGAGGAACCGCCACGTCTCCAGGGTGGTGGCGCCGTGCCCAGCCGGTTACCTCCAAGTGCTCTTGACTGGTCCAGCTGCCCGGTTCTGCCCTCCGAGAGCCGAGGCCCAGTTCGACGGAGCGCACCCTCTCAGCAAACTTGAGGGAGCAGAGGGTCTCGCTCGTGTTCTTCTCAGCAGGGGAGACCTAGTGCCACAGGTAGGAAAGAATCGGTTAGGGCTGCGAAGACCTGGAAAGCCAAGCAAGACAGACTCCCCGGGCATGTTTCCAGGCTCGGTCTAAAAAGTTTGTGCCTGCCGCCCTGGGGCCGGATCATATTCTTCCACACCAGCCTGCATGGAGAGCACCCAGTTCTCCATGGAAGCACATTTTATGTCCTGGTATCGAAGCAGCAGAGTCAGAACGAAAATATGCAGACTGCGTCAATTCTTTCTCTGGGCGTCATGTTTGGCTTTGCGCCCTCAAGACGCCTGCATCCTGCAAGGGCCACCGAAGGTCCCCGCTCTGCTGCGTCCTGCCGTCCTGTCTCTGCCAGTCATTTCTGGCACAGTGCCTCCAAAGCATCGCCACGGCCTTCCCAGGATTGAAAGAACCACAGTGGCAAAAAGCAGGAGGCCTGAAGGCATGCCAGCGAGCCTCGTTCCACTCCGCCCGCCGCGGGCTGGCTGGGGAGGACGGATGTGTCAACCCAGTGCAGCCACAGAGCGCCGATCGGGGGCACCCTGCTGCACCATGCGCAAGGCGAGCTGTTGTGCGACTCGTGGAAGCACCCACCTGAACCATCATGAGGGTCTTGCTGTCCCCGCTGAGGGAGTCCTGGAGCAGGTAGGTGAGCTTGGAGTTGCGGAACGGCACGTGGCCCTGGCGAGAGCGCAGGGCGTAGATCACGTCCCCCAGAGCTGAGAGCGATTTGTTGATGTACTGAGCCTCACGCAGCCGGCTCCCCTCTGCACCCGAGCGCCCCACGCGCTCTGATCCTGCCAGGTCTACCAAGTTCAGCTTCCCTGGCAGATGACAAGCGAGACACATTGAGGCCATGCGCGACTGCAAATATGGCCAGGACTGGGCGGTTGACCCCGTGCGCGTCCGGCCAGGGGACTGCATGGGCAAGCATCCCCACCAGGCCGTGGACGCTCGGAGAGGGGCGGTCAAGAGCTCCCAGGAACCATCGTCACGCACACCTGCGGCCCTGGCAGTGGACCCCTCCACGCCCGAGCTGAGCCCGGTGGATTCCTGGCAGACCTCCAGGAGTGCCAAGCCGGATTTGGTGCCGGGAAGCGCCTGCAGCACTCCAGCAGGAGGACAGGCAACGCTGGGCGCGCCGAGCACCCTCGAATACCAGGCGCAGGGCGAGGGAGGGAAGGGCCGGGGGCGGGAAGGCGCTGCCTGGGCACGGAATGGCGCCGGGAGCCTCGCTCAGGAGACAGTGTGTCCGGGCGGATGGGTGACGACCGGGCCGGACTCCCTCCCGCCTCCGCACTGCTGCGGACACCGACCTGTGGTTCTTATGCCCGTGCTGTAATCAACTCCCCGGACGGTGATGATGAGCAGGGCGTGAGACCGGGAGCTGTGCTCGTTCAGGTGGGTGCACTCAGTGGCTCGGTTGACGTGGCCGAACTCAAAGACCTGCGGGGAGACGGAGCATCGGTTTTTGGCAGGCGATGCTCGCGGCACTCGGCGGGCAGCGGCACCCTGGGTGGCCGAGCAGCTGGAAACGGCCTTTGTGGCTCTGCACCCCGATCTCTGAGCGCCGAGTTGGCGGTGCGGTGAAAGCCGACAGAGGCCGAAGGACGCCGCTCCGAGGAACGGAGGCGAGCCACGCCGCGCAAGCGCCACCATGAAACAGGCGTGGCAGGCACAAGCCACGCGCCCCTCCTGCCACGGTCTGGACAGGATGTCCTTGCACCGCTCCTTCCTCGGGGAGGACCGCGAGGGCCCCGGCAGCGACCGGCAGCTCTGCGGCTCCAGAACCCCTGCACGGCCCCTCACCTTGTTGATGTCCTCCACGCAGTGCACGGCGAACTCCGTCAGGCCCGGCACGTACAGCTGCCCACTGCCGTCGGGACACAGCTTGATGTCCAGCTTCTCCTGGGGATCCCTGCCCAGCAGGTCCCTGCAAGAGGAGCCGGCCGGCCTCAGCCCGCAGAAGCGCCCGGGCTCCTGCACAAGGCTGCTCCCCGGGCCCAGGAGGACAGCTGGGCAAGCGTGAGGCCGGAGCGCCAGCCGCCAAGGGGGTGCCCCCACAGCCCAGGGGTCTTGCCAGGTGGGCGGCGAGGGGAGGGAGGGCCTGACGCGGAGCACTGTTCAACAGGCCGGGGGTGGCAGAGCAAACGGCTGGTGCGAGACCGCCGAGCGACTCGCGCACATCAGCCCGAGCAATACTCCTCTGCACGGCTCTTCCATGCCAGAGCAAACGCGTCTGCTGGAGGGCAGAGCTGGCCGGCGAACCCAGCCCCACATGCAGCGGAGCCGGCTCTGGGACTGCTCCCCACTCCGGAATGGATTTCCCGGGACCGTCAGAAGGGCCCTGCCAGAGCGCTTCTGCCCCACCTTCCATTTCCGCAGCGGCAAGCCAGGCCCCCTCAGAGGAGGCCTGCACGGAGCACTGGCCGCCCGCGGCCCCCGCCCGCGGCTGCGCTTCGGAGGCCAGCTGCCCCAGCCCCGCGGAGGGCGCAGAGCCGGCATGGCCAGCAGCCAGACAGCCGCTCCCTGCCTGCACTGCCCGCTCTGGTGGGGGCGTTCAACTTTCTGCATGCAGGGAAGCCCTTTCCTTCCGCTCTCCCGCGTTTCCTGCCCTTCAGCTTCGTGGGATGATGCTCTCGAGTCATCCCCTCACTCGACACCACTCCCAAGGGGCCTGAAGTGAGAGAACCGCATGGCGCTGCCCTTGTGGCTGAAGGCAGTGCTTCTGCGCACAGGCAGAGTGCCACCTCCCCTGCGGCCTTGGGTCCGGCCTTCCCAACGGCCAGCCTGGTGCCCCATGTGCGGGAAAAGCTCGGGGCCTGAAGGCCGGGGCAGCCCCGCTGCAGGAAGCGCCTGTGCCGGCTTCTGGGAGGCGCCCCAGGCGAGCGGCCATGCAGGCCACTGCGCACCGGAGGGCTTCGTTGTAGATCTCCGCCACACTGACGGTGATCCTGTAGTTCCAGTCGAAGGCTTTCGCTTGCACTTCCGAGAAGAGCAGCTGCAGGGCCCGCTGGTTAATTCCGGGGTTCTCGGGAACGCCCTGGGGAAGAGAAAGGCCCCAGCGTCACGGGCTGCATCCTCGTCCGGGGCAGCCCAGCCGAGGCCGTGGGGGGATCCTGCAGGAGCTCTGCTGGACCGGGGCCGGAAGCTCACCGCAGGACGCAGGAAGCCCCCGGCCCTAGCGTTGCACGCGTGAGTGCCTCTGAGCACGGCGCCCACCCTCTCGCTGGTATTCATTTGCTATTTAGTAAATGCTTCCCTAACCCGTCCCCTGCAGACGTCTCGGGACGCAGTGCAGAAAATGACTAGAATAAAGCAAGCACCACGGGAGCCCGGGCCATGCACGGCCCTCCGCAGCCTTGCCGTCCTTTCGTGGCATCCTCAGCGTGGCCCGAGGAACTCTCGCAGCCCGAGCAAGGCCCATGGCCGTACAGCCACCTCTCGGTGCGCTGGACCACACCTCCCAGCATCCTGCAGCACGGGGATGCCCGGCATTGTGGTTTGGCACGACTGGGGTGCCGGCAGCGGCAATTTACCCCGGCCGAAGCGCTGTGGGGGAGGGGAGTCCCCCGCGGGCGCCGAAACAGCCCCGCACCCAAGGGCCGAGGCGCGAGCGGCTCACCTCCATGGTGTAGGTCTTGCCGGCGCCCGTCTGTCCGTAGGCAAAGATGCAAACGTTGTAGCCGTCGATGCAGGAGGTGACGAGGGCGCGCACCTCGCGGAAGACCTTGGGAGGCGGTGAGGGCTCGTCAGCGGGGCCCCATGGCCTCCGAGGGGGACCGGCGGGAGGCCGTCCCCACTGCTGGGCGAGCTAGGGCTTCCTCGTGGACGGGGCTCCCTCCCAGGCCCGGCGCCTCCCAGAGGCCGGGCCCCGTGACGGCCAGGGGCCAGGAGGCCCGTGCGCCTGCCCTGAACCTGACCAGGCCATTCCCCTGGCGCCAAAGGACTGCCGCGGAGGGGGCGCCTGCGAAAGGTCCCCTTCCGCGATGGCAGCCCGGCTGTGGAAGCCCCTCTGCAGAGGCGTCCTGGGCACCTGCGGCCTGGGATCCAGGCGTGGCCCGACCCTTTCAGGGCCGCCCCGCATTTCGCCATGCAGTGTTTCAGGGCTGGAACGATGTGACTGCCCCAGACAGATCTGCCCCTTGGGTGGCATCCAGGAGGGTGCACTGATCCATCGCCGGCTGGCACGGCCACGCCGGCGGGGAATCATGGCAGCCGAGGCGGATCCAGAGGGGGTCCCGCCGGGGCGCCTCGTCCTCCTGGGCTGCTGGGAAAGGCAGAAGCATCGCCGCCAGACGCCCCCCCCCTCCCGGCGGAGCTCGAGCAGCAGAGGCGATGCCGGCCTCGCAGTCCCCTCCCACCTCTCCCCACCGACACGCCCTCCGGCCGCCCCGCAGCCACGCTTACGTCTTCCTGCGTCGCCTCTGGGGGGAAGACCTTGTCCAGCTCAAACGAGATCAACTTCCCTTTGTGGGTGAGGTGCAGGACCGCATCGTCGTCCGGGTCAAAGGTCACAGCGTTGGCCACTTCCGGCCCTTCTCCATCCTCTTTACTTATTGGCCGGACACGACCAAACACTCGGATGTTGCCTTTCACAGGAATTGCACAAACTTAAAAACCTGGGAATGGCTGGAATACTGGCCCCCGACTGCTCTACGGAGAATTTTTCCAGCAAGGGCAGAAGTGGAGACCCACAGCCCACCAGGAGTTCCCCTGACACCCAGGCCCCTTTTCTCTGTCCCTTATCCCAACCAGCTCTTTGGTACTTTCTGGGCTTCTTGGCACAACTTTTCCCCCATTCTGGAAGGTTAAAATGGGCCTCCTTAGTGAAGTAAAAGCTCAGCCAGCAGCATTTTAGCTCAAAGAAAGAGCAAGTTTCAAGCTGGTACTTCAGCCCCCGCGCATTCACCCAGCCTGAATGGGGGACCTTCTCCCCACTGGCTGAGCTGCCATGTCCCTGAAGAGCTGCCTTCAAACACATGCCGGGGCCCACAGAGCCGGGCCCTCGCTTACAGGGAGGGGGGGCCCCACAGGTCCACCAGGGAAGCAACAACAGCACCCCTGGCCCAGCAGACCTCCTGCCCCACAACACACTCAACCCGGACGCCCCGCGTCACCAGCCTTGGCCTTCAGCTTGGCAGTGGTTATGGGGCGTTAATGGGTGCGCCACCTGGAGAACAATCCGCCCAGCACCTTTGGCAGACCTGCAAGGGCCACACGATGAGACGCACAGACCTCTCAGCCGCACAAGCTCGTTGTGGCACTTCTTCCGGAGCTGCAGCTCCCTGCGGTATTTCCTCAGGAGCTCCTCGTTGGTACTGTTCACCTCCGCGATGGCACGCCCGATCTTGGAGAGGGGACAGGACGAGCGATACCTTCAGGGGGCTTCAGGATCCACCCAGCCGGCCAGCCCACCTCCCCCTCAGAAGCGTGCCGCCACCCGAAGGCGCCTGCCACCAACATGTCCTGACCTCGGCCTTGGCACTCCGCAGGGCCTCTTGCAGGAGTACCGGAAATTCTCGGACCTGCCGCTTCAGGCCGTTGTAGTCGTTGGTGAGGGTGCGGAGCGCTGGTTGCAGCGTGAGCAGGTTTGTTCGCACCCCTGCAGAGAAGCCGAAAAGTTCACTGAGGGTGCCGCATGGGCCGAGGGGCAGAAAGCTCCAGCACCCATCGGCAAGCGTGGCTGCAGTGCTCTGTGGGACGCAGCGCCGGCCGCGGAGGGAAGGCAGGCCCCTCGTCCTGCACCCTGCTGGCCCACCAAGGGAGCGGGTCCTCTGGCCCCCCAGGAGCCGCCGGGCTGCCACGGTCCGAGGGAAGAAGCGGCTTTCACGAAGAGACACAATGGCTACTGGCACAGCCCCAGAGGTCCCGGGTGCAGCTGCGGGCTCAGCCCATGGCCAGCCGGGTGCTTGGCCCCCGGCCACCCCCGGCTGGGAGATCTTCACCTGCCAGGTTCTCGTGAACGGCCTTCATCTCCTCCTGGGCCCGGGCAAAGGCCTCCTCGATGGCCTGGTTCTTGCTCTCCTCCAAGCTCTGCATCTCCTCCAGGACCTGCTCTTGGGTGCGCTCCAGCTCTGACTCGTACAGCAGCACCTGGACAATGTGCCGGGAATGCCGTCAGCAGAGCAAGGAGGGCGCCTCCCGCCACGGGTGGGAAGGAGTTTGGGTGGCCGCTTCCATGCCCATGCAGAGAATCTGCCCCACGGGGGATGGGGCAAGAGATGGCACCCTCCCTCGGCAACCTGCCCGGGTCTCACCTCTGCTCCTCCTATTCCTCCCCGCCCCCGAATCTGCTAGGGACAGAAAGGCAGCACCACACCAGGTGCCAGGGAGTGTGAGGACCCCAAGGGGTGTCAGGGAGGGCCCCGGGACGGGTCGTGGGCCACCCGCGGGCTCATCACGCCTGCCTGTCGGCCGGAGGAAGGAGAGGGGGTGCACGTGGGCGCCGGCTGCAGCAGCTGCTGCAAAGCGACAACCGGAGGCCTGGGCCCCCCTGCGTGGGCTCCCGTTTCCCGCCAAACGAAGACGACCCTGGCTCGCTCCCCGCGCCTGGCTTGCCTGTGCCCTGAGCTGAGCGGCTGTCGTCTGTGCGTTCTGCAGCTGCTGCTCCATCTCCTTCAGGACTTGCCTCTGCATCCCCACCTGGTCCTGCAGGTACTGGTTCCGGGACTGGGCTTCGCAGACGGCCTGCTTCGTCTTGGAGGATTCCACTTCCACCGTTCGAATGACGTACTGGGCGAGGGAGGGGACGAAGGCGCAGGTGATGAATCCCGCCTGAACCAGCCGCAAAACCTCGGCGGAGTGGTTGGGATCCGGCTCCCAAGCCCGAGGGAGTGCACTGAGTGTGCAAATGGCGCTCCAGCCCCTCCCCGGCCCTCGGGGAGCATCCTCAGAGGGGCTAGACGTGACCCTCCTTGGGGCAGGGAGGGGCACAGGCAGCAGCCCCCTTGGCCTCCTCCTGCCTGCTGTGAGACGGCGCTGCGAGAAGGCAGGAAGGCATCTGTCCAGCGAGAAGGCAGAGCGTGGCGAGCACGTGGCACGGGCCACCTCGGGCCGCTCCTTCCCCGTCCCGGGCCAGCGGGAGGAGCCTCCTTTTTACAGAGCAGAGCATGTGCGCCAGCCAGAAGCCAGAACAACTCCCTTCGGGGTCAGATGGCTCCCAGCACGGAAGGGGCCTGCACCTTGATCTGCTGCGGCTGGGCCCTGAGGCTGGCGATGGTCTCCTGGCTGTCCCGCAGCCGCCGGCTGAGGCGCTCCTCCTCCTCCGCCTTCTCGGCCAGAGAGTCCTTCAGCCGCAGCTCCACCTCGGCCAGGCGGTTGGTTTTCTGCTCCACCTCCAGGTCCAGCTCGGACAGGCGCCCCTTCGCCTCCTCCGCCTCGCGCACCAGCTGTGCCAGCTGGTCCTGCAGCTTCACGTTCTCCTGGGCACGGAGGGAATTGCAGGGCTCTTGAGAAGCTGGGTGGAGAGCCGGCACGGGGACACCCCGGGGGAAAGACGCCGCCCTTTACCTGGCTGTGCTCACAGTTCACACATCTCGCCGGCTGCTTCCTGAACTCCTGCAGCAGCGCCTTGCATGCCTTCACCTCTTGCTTCAGCCGCATGTTCTCTGCAACCAGCTGGTCCCGGTGCTTCTCCAAGTCTGTTCCACCCTGAGGAAGCACAGGAGGCGGCGTGCGTTAGCACTATCCGTGCACAGGGAACAGTATTACTCGCTCTCAAACCACCTACTAAGGAAACCAACATGTTCATTCAGAAGATTTTGCAGCCGTAATCAGTGGTTCTTAGCTCAGTTAAAACTCTCAGTGGGAACAATGCTCTTTGGACTACCAGAACCGGCTACACATGTGTGGAGGGGTTACCTGCTGCAGTTGCATCTTTGCCTGTACTCAGGATAAAGGCCAATGCTTTTGCTCTTTTAACTCTTGGGCACCCCAGGAAAATCACCAAGGGGATGAGACAGTTTTTCTGGAGAAATTACAGTGACAGAAACATTTTCATTTCAGAGCAGATGCTTCTGTTTCGTCAAGGCGCTACCAGCAAGAGCTGGGCAGGGCAGGAGGGACAACGGAGGGCAGGGGGAATTTTGCCTTTTGTGGCTCCTAAAAAGAGCAAACTCGGCTAGAACATCTGGCCGATTTTCTGGGGGTGCCCGTGACCCCAGAGGTGGCCACCCCCCTGCCTGTTTGTTCCACCCAACCTCCGAGGTTGTGGGTGAGACCCAAGCACAGCAGCTGTGCCACTGCTTTCTGCAAAGGTGGTGGGGGCACAGGGCGGGGAAGAGCCCCCTCTGAGATCTGGCGGGGATGCAAGGGCAGCTGTGGAAACGATGATACCCAACTCGCTGGCTGAGGGAGAGCTGGACCACCATGAGAGCCATCCAGAGGTGGCGACGCCAGTGTGGGTCTGGCTAGAGTTGGCAGGCCATGACGTGCCACCAATTGCTTTTGGAGAGAGTAATCAGAACTTTCATCACAATGAAGGAATATTAAATTGTCCTTTCCTCTCTTCTGGCTAGAATACTAATTTCCATTGTATTCACTGCTGACAACCTGAGACTAGTTAAAACGAAGCCACACCTTTTCTACGAGCAGCTGTGCTGAGTTCAATGCATGGGCCAAGACAAGCAGCCGGTTAACTGGGAACGCGTTAAGTGTTCTGTTCGATGCAAATACTATCGCTAGACGATCTGGGAGTTGTAATCACACGATTTTTGGGAAACAACTTTGGGATCAGCAGGACGTCCAGGGGGGCCCTGGCTGGGAAAGCAGAAAGGCCTCAACGCCTCAGCTGCTCTGCTGAACATGAAACTGATTTAGCCCGCAAATGGTGCGCGGGCTTCGGCTAATTGGTCTCCCTTCTCGCCCACCTCCACAGCAGGTGGGTAGCACCCTCATCCTTTGCACGAGAGGCTTTTTACGATGTTGCCTTTGTTGTGCAATTACTACCACGCAGGTATCTTAAGCGTTCTCAGGTGTGTATTTAAATATTCGTGCTGCTCCCTTCTTGTTTTGCCACCACGGTTGTTTGACGCCTCCCTGCTATTCCGTGGGCACTCCCTTCAGCGCTTCTTCGGTTCACAAGAGAAGAGGCCGGGGAAGATTTTCAAGCTCTCGTCATTTCAGCCGGAAACTTTAAATGGAGGCAGCCACATGGTTTACTGGGCTCCAGATGCTTCAAAAAGCCATGCACGCACTGGCATTCTTGGGGAAAGATTATCCAGGCAGAGGGAATGGAACGCACTGTGAGAGGCGTCCTGCCATCTTTAGAAAGGGGGAAATGACTCTCCCTGCCCAAGAGGCCAACTTCCTGGATGACACGGAGCCAGAAGTGCCGAGTGGCAATTTCTGTGCCCCAGTCCGAACTGCCTGTCCCACCGAGCACGGCAAAATCACGCCCTGTGCTCAGGCTGGCAGCCCATCCTCAAACCCAGTGGCTGGACGGTGGTTTCCATGAGGATTCATCACCTGTCATCATCGCCGCCACAACTCACCAGCACGGAATGCAGCCGGTCCATCTCCTGGGCCCGCTCCAAGCGTCTGTCCTTCACGCTCTCCGTCTGCTGAGAGAAAGGCCGCCTTAAGCAGACACCCTTTGCAAAGTGGAAAACAAACAGATGAGCCTGGCAGATTTTATCCCACAGAATCGTATGGGATCCAAGGAGCTTTGTTCTTCGGTTTAAAAGGGTGGTGGCAATGGGGTCCCAAGCAGTCCCAGCCTGTTAAAATGGGGTGGGGGTGAGCAAGCCAGGAAATGGGGGGGGGTTGGGTGAACTGGGTTGGGCCAAGGAATGTGGGAAATGCGGAAGGGCCGACCTGGCCCTGCACCGTGGCTCCTGGAAAACCATGGCGCTTAAGCCCCCCGTCAAGGCAACGTGGGAAGGATCCACGAAGGCACGTGGCTCAGCGCTCGTGAGATGGGGGCAGCAGGCACGTTCTCGCCAACTCTCCTATTGCGCTCGCTTGTTTATGCATTTATTGTGTATTTGGTTTGCTGTATTTTCCCCACTTTTCAGACCACTGTTGTTTCCCAAAGTGGCTCACATCAAGTCGCAGAGAGAGAAGCAGGCACTGCCATCACCAAAAGGACAAGGCACAGAAAGTGGAATAGAGAAAGCCCTGTTTGCTGAGCCTAACCTACCTCGCAGGGTTGTTGTGGTGTGGATAAAACGGAGAGGCGGTGAACCTTGTAAGCCACCTGGGATTCCTTGCAAGAGGAAGAAAGACAGGAAATAAATGCAACGCGAGGAGGAGCAGGCGCAGCATTCCGTGCGGGTTCTGACTTCTGGGTGCCTTTGCAAAGTTTATCCAAGGCTTGCGCCTAAGCTGCAGCCCTACGAAAGTGCAGGCCGAAAGTCCACCGGTTTGGTCTGAGACACTCGGAGCATCATGTGTGGGCTGACCAGGGGGCACCCAAGGAGGGCCCGGGACGGGGCCCCGGAAAGGCCGCCTTGGAGGCACGCTCACAGGGCCTCGCGCACAGAGGCCAGCCTGGGACACTGGCCCTCCTAGGGAAGGGCGAGACGAGCACGCAGCAGAGAGGGGCCGAGGGGCCCCCGAAGGGGCATGCAGGGCCCTCCCAGGACTCACCTTTTGCTGGGGACTATGTAGCACCCCCGTAGAGCAGGTGGGGACGAGGCACTGCTTGCGGGGTGCCAGCATCCCACACACGCGTCCACTGGTTGTACCAGCTGGAAGTTGGGGCCTTCGGAGCAGGACCCTTGTCTGGGGAGGGAGCCATGGCAGCAGAGGGAGGGATGGGGAAGGGTGTACCCTGGGACAGTCGCCAAGCGCCTGGGTGTCCTGCCCAGCACGCCCAGTGGGTCAACAGGGAGCCCCCTGGCTGCAGGCTCACAAAAGGGCCGCCCCTGATTCCCTCGGGCACCTTCTGCGGTCGAAGGAGAAGAGGCAGACCGGACAGAGGCACGAGCCTGGTGGAGGCGATCCACAGCGAGCAACCGCTCTCCCCACGCGGCACAAGGGGAACGCCCAAGGCAACGCGGGGGGGGGGGGGTTCCCGCCTCCCTCGCGCCCTGCCCGCAGTGGGGGCTGCAGGCAGCCGCGTCAGATGCCCTCCGGCACGCCCGCCCTCTCGCAGTGCACTTTAGGGCATTATGTAGGGTTATTCGGTGCAACGAGTTCAGGGCCCGTGTCCATTCCTCCCTGCGCACTTTGGGGATTCTTCTGTGCCACATCTGCACGGTTCCTGCGCCTTCCTGCAGCTCTGCACCCGTTTGCTCTCCCTGCCCGTTGCTTCTCGCGCTGCTCTTTGGACCTTCGCGTCACACTCACGAGTGCAGGAAGCACAAAGAACGAGGGGGGGCAACGAGGGGGGGCGCACGTGCTGCAGGACGGTGGCGGTCTGGGACAGAGTTACTCCGAGGCGGTTTCTCACAGCGATCTCGAGGAGGAGGAGGCGCCCTCCAAGGTCTTCCTGGGCATGGCTGGCAGGAGCTGGGGAAAGCTCCTGGCACGAACCCTCAGCGGAGAGGCTCTGCTGGGAGGCCAGCCAGGGTGAACGGCAGATTCCACAGCCGGCCCCAAGAGAAACCACAAGCAGAGGAGTATCACGTTTCTGTATGGAGGCCGTGAAGGAGACGGAGCAGGGAAGAAGGCAGGTGTACCTGGCTGTGCAGCTGTGCGGCCTGCGTTTGCCGGCTGTCCTCTTGTGTGGAAAGTTCCTCCTGCAGCGGCAGCTTTTCTTCTTGCAGCTGGGCCAGCGACTCCACCAGTTTCTGGTGTGCTCCTGGCACGCGGGGCTGCCTCCCGCCGAGGAATCTCACCCCTGCAACAAGACGGCGCTTAGGACGGAACTGTGGAGGCACCGGGCCGGCACAGCGAGGGGGAGACAGCGTGTGATGACGGGGCAGAGCCCAGAGCCCGTGGAGGCAATGCGGACCGCCAGGGACGTTCCCTGAAGGGCGGTGCAGGCGAGCAGGCCACAGCCAAGCCCGGCGCAGGGAGGGCTCCTGACGGTCTGCCAGATGCGTCTGCAGCCAAATTTCTGGGCAGGGCAGCGACATCCGCCAGCCTGCCCAGAGCAAGGAATACCCTGTCGCAGGGCTCAGGGAAAATGACGTCTGTTGAGGAGGATCAAAATTGCAACTGGCACTCATGCTTTAAAGGCAGAGCTGGCCTCTGTCCCAAGGTGAAACGTGACTTCTCTTTTCCACCCAGCTAGAATTAACCCAACAGCCGTCCCGATCCTCTATCTGTTTACAAACAAGGAAGCCGTGCCGAGTTGAAAGGGACCTGCACCCAGGCAAGTGAGGACAGCCAAAGTGGGATCGAGCGGGAGAAGCTGGCTTGCGTGAAGGGACATCACAGCCATCTCCTCCTCTCCCTGTGGCAACCTGCATGCCCCAGATTTGCTCTGGGGGGTCCCCCACCTCCCTGGGACAGATGTGGGGGGCTCTGGAGCTGCAAGGGGGAAGGGAACACATTACACTGATGATTCCTTTCTGCTGGCTGAACAACGCCTGCGAACACCCACCGCTTCAGGGCTTGTTTCATACCCCAAGATACCTTCCTCCCTCCCTGCTCCCGACATCCACTTTTTCTTCCCTTTTACTGAACGTCGGACAGGTAAATGACCTCTTGAAAGCTTTGCGGTCATTTCATCCATCCTAATAAAAGCCATTATGCTGCTGCTGGTTTTCAATTTCTCCTGCAGAGCCGTCAGAGTGACCTATAAAACTTGGGTGGGTTGGAGAGACGTCTGGAAGGCTCCGTGTGCTGAGAAAGCACGGTTTGTCCAAGCAAGGGCTCGGGGGCCTTTGGCCTTGTGGCGGAGCAGAGACATCGCTTCCCAGGCTCAGCAGCGTCAGGTGCGTGTCTTGGAAAGATGGCAGGAACAACGCAGAGAAGACGACACTGAAATGCCACATCGCCAACGGCTGCCCAACACGCCCTGAGGGAGTCTGGCGTGTGGGAGGCATGTGAGGACCACTCAGGCAAGCGTGGCGGCGAGACGCATGCCACACGCCGTCAGCCCCGGGACGGGGGCCCTCCACCCACCGCATTCTGAGTGCCTGTTGCCACTGGCTGCCAGGGGAGGAGGAGACACAGACAGCACCTGTGGCTTGAGCGTGTGAAAAAGACCTGAATAATTGAGTAATTAATCTCTCTGTAGCCAAGATCCCAGTGGAGGGGTGCACCAGAAGTCCTTTTTTATAGTCCAGGTTTTTTTGGTATTTTTTTATGATCAATGCATTTTTGCATTTGTATCTACACATTTTAGTACTGCATTTTGGATGGTCAAAGAAAAATATAATTCAAAAATTAATTAATTAATTTGATTTAAATATAATTTTAAAAAGAACCTATGATTTGTTCATGTGAAAAAGAGCTGGGATGCCCCGAAGGCAATCTGGAATGGTGACTACACCCCGCCTGTCCCAGCGATAGCTGGCTTACAAAAAACTCTGAGAAGATTGGACCCCCCCCTCCTCTGAGGGAATCAATAGCCAAACAAGGAACATTTCTGAGAAACAGAGAAATGATCAGCTGCGAAGGGGCAGCCTAGGAAGCTCAGACCGCAGCGGCCCCGAAGCCCACTGGCCCTGCAAGCCCCCCGGAGCACCATTCTGGGAAAGAAAATGGGCAGGATGCAGACACACAAATGGATAAAAGTAGACAGAAGTTAGCGTTAAGGTTCCCAGTCAAGTCTGTGGCTGAGGGGAGCTGATGCCATGTCATACTGAAGGTGTCACTCCGAAACAGTGGCAGGGATCGGTCTACTCCAGCCCCTGAATGGGAGAGGGGATCTTGCTGTAGGGCAAGCAGGCCACCGGGGGCAGCCTGTTCCAGTCCTACGTCTTGCAGCCATCTTGAACCTTGAAGGCAAAGCAAAGGCCGTCTACAGGAGCGTGGGAAAGGGAAAAGCTGCCACCTGTGAGCTGCTAAGGGCTTCCCACCGGACTGGTTTAACCTGCTGCTTTAACAGGGGCTTCGGTTTCCATTTTCTTTGCTGGAGGGGGGAAATGCATCTGTTGCATGGGAATCGTCTCTGCTCTTCTCTGTATTCTGTTCGGCAAGCGCAAGGCGGAACTGTGGTACAGCTCCAACGCAGCGGGCCCTCGTTATAGTCTGCATTTGGGTAGCTGACTTCCCTTGATTGAAGAGAAACCAAGAAAGTGGCTCGGATCAAGGAAGCGTCCCTGGAGGGTAACCGTGTGGCGAAAAAGCCCTGAACACGTCCATGAGAGGGGTCCTAAGCGCACAATGAATGCCATATGGAGCGACAGTCCAGCTGTCCAGGCGGCTGAGCCTTACCAAGTCTGCTTCCTCGGGGTAAGGCTATGCTGCAGGCTTTTGTTTCCAGTCCAGCGCGCATAAAGGCCACGAATCCACTTGCCGTCTATGGAATTCAGAGGGATACACACAGGTGCGCAAACATGCAGGCACATGCGCCTGTCTACATGGGTGTAATGAGATCTGGAAAGTAACCACGCTTTTGTTTGACAGTGAGAAAGAAAAGGAAGGGGACTGTCCAGACGAACAGCCAAGATGATCTTTTAAAATGTTCTTTTGCAACCTGGTTCTTTCTAAGTGTGTCAGATTGCAAGTCCTGGCTGGCTGTGGAATGTCAGGAGTTCCGGTCCAACACATCTGGAAATTACCAGAAAAATTCCTGTAAACAAATCTGCAATACCCAGAACTTCATGAAACGGGCTCGGGCTCCAGGCCTGCCAACTGGTAAGCCAGCATTTCAGAAGCAAGTTCTGACCTTTATGTAGAAAAAATGTGAAGTTAAAATTTGGTTTGGTTGACTTTGCACATTAGCAGAGAGTGGACCTGACACTCAGTTGACTTAATAACTCCCGCAAATGTCACACCCATGTGGTTTTATTAGAAGGGAAAAGGCGGGTGCTCCAACTATCACGCCGTGGCAAATATCAAGCGGCAGGTGTAGCTTGCTTGTTAAAAAGCATCTTTTTCCGCAAGGGCTTTAAACCAATGTTTGAAGACCAGGAACCACCCAGTGTTTCCAACTGCCCACTGAACTAACTTGTCTGGATGCCTCCGCACTATTGCTATTTATTCCACCAGCCCTTCCGCGGAGCCAATAACAAAGCCATAAATACCACAGAGGTGACGGGGAGCCCGTCGGCACCACTGAAGCCCAGCTGTGCGGCTCCAGAGAGGCCACCCCGCCCACGCACCTTCACCGACGCAAGCACCAAGGATGCGTCCGGCCGTGGCCTGAAACGCCGAGCGCACGTACGTAGGAGGTTCGACGCACGCACACGCAGTCACCTGGCCTTGGACCAAGCCTTCGCCCCACGGCCACCGGCTCGCCTGGCCTTGTCTTCTCACCCGGGAGCTTCACGCCCAGGCAGGGGTTGCACCCACAGCCACAGCTGACACACAGCCGATGATCAGAGTCCGCCAAGACAAGCATCCTCCAAAGCCCCGGCCAAACACTTTGTTTTCGGGTGCAGGCCGATCTCCTTCCGCCCCCCCCCCCGCACCCCGCACTCACTCCCTGCGGCGCTCCAGACAAAAGTCACTCCGCAGCCCCACGGCCTCGCTCACAGGATCCTACGTGGCTCGGGCGGCCACTCGCCGCCTCCCATGCTTTCCCGCGGCTTCTTCCAGGGTGCAGGGGGAAATCCTGTTGCAAAGGAAGCCCCTGAAGAGGCGGCGGCAACCCAGCTGTGCTCGCCTGCGGCGTGGAAGGAGCCCCCATCCGAAGCGCCCCGACCTTGCGTTCCCGCCTGTGCCTCCCCTGCTTTTCCCTGCCTCTTTTCTTACCCAGAGAAAAGAGTTGCGGGAGAAAGCGCTGACCCGCTGCAGGAGGCCTGCTCCCACCGACCGACAGACCGGCACCTGCCGCCAGCGCCGTCTGCCTCGCCCGGGCATCAGCCCGCTTCCGTCCTGTGCCAGGAGTCTCCTCACTTCCGTGCGTCAGCTCGCCTCTCTCTGTCGTGACGCCCCAGGAAGGGCAGAAAGGAGACGAGCTGCAGCCTCGGCATCAGCACCAGCCAGGGAGTGCCTCCGCAGCCTGATCTGTCTGGGCAAGCACGGGCAATTAAGACCTTGGGAAGCAGCAAGGAAGGCAGGGGAACGATCCGTGGCCCTTCCGCCTGGGCTCGTCGGAGCCCTTCCAGGGGACACTCCCTTCCCAAGCGCCAGACTGGCTGGGACCCCCACCACGGGGTCCGCCCCGAGTGTGTGCTCTTCCCCTGGGGGGCGGGGCTGATCCAAATCCTGGTCCTGCTGATCCAAATTCTTGTCCGCGCTCCACCCAGACAGAAGGTGCGCGTGGCAGCAAACGCAGCAGTTGTCTGCGGCTGACTCTGGATTCGGGCCGGCTCGCCCCACCCCTGGGACCCCGGTTCCGATCTGGGTGGGGCCTCCCATGCTGGCCGAGGGTGGGTGCAAGCGCCCCGTGCAGGAAGAGCGGGGAGGGACAACGCGCACAGGGCCGGCCTGCTTGCTGCTCCCTGGGGAGGGAGGCAGCCTCACGGTTTCTGCTGACCTCACCAAGCTGGAAAGCTGCTCCCTCCCGTTTATATGAGACGCGAGTGCTGCAAGTGTTCGGGGTTCAGGTTTCCACTGCGGCCCCCCAGCATGTGCTTTGCGGCCGGCACTTGCTCTTCGGGAGAACAAGCAGCTGCACATCAAGCACAGACTGCTGAATTCCAGTGCAGAATGCCTGAGGGGGCACTCGCCCCCCCGCCCTGCGCCCCTGAGGCCTGGGGAGGGGGCACCTACAGGGAAACTCAGCGCTTCTCCCTGCCCCCCCCCCATTTTTGTCGCGGCTAATGCAGGCCTTTATCTCAAAGGTTTTCTTCCGGAAGGGCAAGCGGAATGCCTTCACAGTGGCACCCACACTGCAGCCAGCTGCATCAATGCAAAACCCACACGCCCACAACTGCAAGGTCGCATGCCGGCGGCGTGCCGAGCGCCAAACGAGCTGCGCTCCCTGGACCACGCAAGGCACCTGCCCAGCCCTTTCCAGGCCAAAGGGGCAGTGGTGAGACCGTCGCACAGCTCCGCCGCCCGCTTCTCACTTACCAGCTCAGGAGCAAATATAACACCAACAGCTGGCGGGGGGCGGGCGGGGGGAGAATTCCCACAGACTGGAGCCGAGTCAGAGGAATGGGAGGGAGGGATTCGCAACCTGCTGGATCTGCATCTTAACCGGCAAGTGCTGGGCTCCCCTGGCCTTTTCCCACCCTTTCATCCAAAAGGAACAGGCAGGCAGGGCGAGGGCACCAGCGCAGGCCTGATCCTGGCCCCACAGGCCCGGCCTCCAAGTAAGGCTGGGACGGGGACGGGCTGGAGGTGCTGCCCAGTGGGTGGGACACAGCGCAGGCTTCTGCCTGTTCCTCTCGCCCTCTTCTTTTCACTGGTACCTTGAATTCCACCCACCTATCGCTCATTTCCCCCTCACTTCCCCCTCTCCTTTCCATCAGCGCTCATTTCTTTCCCAAGTGTAACAACAGAACGTTATGGAACGCGTAAGGCGCTTGGGGGCTCCAGTCCCCCTGGGGAGTACAATTTAGGTAAAGAGAAAGAAGAATTGCACTGGCATCGGGGTCACATACTCGGGGCAGTCCCAGCTTGTTGGGTTAGCTGGAACCTCTGGACTCACTCAGCAGGATCCAGCACGCCTGAGCCCCCAGATGTGTGGAAATGGCCACCACACCCATCCTGCAGCCAGTGGTCTGGGAATGACGGGCGCTGCAGACCCTGCACACCTGGAAAGCGCCAGGTGGGGAGGGCTGGGCTAGCCGCTGTGCTCCGGGGGTATCCGTGCTGGCCGATCCGCGGAGAAATGCATGGGCTCGGGGCATCTTCGTACCTGCTCTCTCCATGCTCCCAGCGTCCGCTTCCCGCTCCAGGGTGCCGCAGTGCCAGGCCGCTTCTGTGTGCCCAGCCGGGCTGCGGGTGCCGCAGGTTCCCTCGCGCCGGCCGGCAGCCAGCCTCGCGCGCCCTGCTTCAGAGAGCCTGCCGGGGAGAGAGAGACGCCTGAGCCGAAGGCACAAACGTGCTCCATGTGCCCCGCGGCCACGCCAAATTAGACACGGCAGCAGCTGGTGACCCACCGGAGGGGTTGCCTGTCTTAGGGGAAGGGCAAACTCCAGGAAGCCCTAGGCTCGTCAGACAGGCAAGTCCGTGCAAGCCACTGCTGCCCGGAACCCCCTGCCCACGGGACCGGCAACCCAAGGGAAGAGCGAGTTCTGCTGTCAGAACTGAATCGCACTCAAGGTTTTAGAGCCACTGCAAACTACTGTCCCCAACCCTGTACCCCCATGTTTGGGACTGCAATCCCCATCGTCCCCAACCAGCATGGCCAGGGACCGTGTTGGTAAGGATGATGGATTCTGCAAGTCCAACACTTCCGGAGGGCACCGAGGCAGGGGACGCCGTGGGGCAGTGGCGCAAAGCCCTCTCCGGGGGGAGCGAGCTACCGACGCGCCAGCTGCCCCCAGCGACGCCTGATCCGGAGGCACCCCGGAGGCCTCCCGCGCGTCTCCCCGTGTCCCACATGGCACTCTGCCTGCGAAGGCCTGGGCAACCGCCGAACGCTGGGGCCAGGCTGCCCACTGGGACCCGCTCCAGGGCGTGCGCAAGAAGCCCTCTGCCAACCCCCAGCCTGTGTCCAGGCACAACTCGGAGGGGGGCTGGTGAGCGAGAAAGCCATGCAAGCATGCCAGCTCGGCACAGTCTCCGTCTTTGGAGAGGCCCTTCCTGTGGGTCCACCCGACGCATCATAGCTGCCCTTACATGTGAAGTCAGGTTTCCAGGCCAGGGCTGTTCATCCCGAAGATAAGCAGGTCGTAACACAACAGCTGTTTCAGAAGAGCCCTTTCCACACTTGCTGATGAGCAAATCCGCTCTGTCCCTTAATATCAGAAGCAACAAAAAATTCTCAGTGCTCCGAGCAAATTTCACCAAAGGCAAAGAACTGCACCCCGATCCCGCCTACCTCTGTGTCAGCCAAGATGCTAGGCATCTGAAGCTGGCATAAAGCCCCCTGCCCTCCCTCCCTGTCCCCCCACCCACAACCCCATGACGTTTGCCAATCTTGCAGCCCAGCATAGTCCGAGCTGATGGAAGCACCGAGAGTTTCACCCAGAACCCTATGACACAGGCCTGTCCCATAAAATGGGATGAGGGTGGTGGGTGGAGAGGAAGAGGTCCAACAAGACCGCTGGTCTCGCCGCTACCCCAGAAAGGGCTTGCCGGACATGCTTCCAGAGTAGGCATTCATTCTAGGAAGCCGCATCCCAGATCGCAGGAGAGCATTCGGGAGGCCGACACAACATTCTGTCCTCCCCTCACCCTGGCCCAAGGTCACCACACCAAACATGGACCCTCGGCTTCGGCCACGTCACACGCATGTCGGGATTCACCTCCCAACATCCTCACGCCAGGCTGTTTTATCAGTCTTCTCTGACGGACGAACACTGGGCCTTTCCCAGGAAAACCAGCGCTGCATCTTTCCCTCCCCTTCCCAGCACGCACGACTGCCTGCCAAGCACATGCGGATTCCGAGACAGTGCACTGAACCGTGCGAGACGTTTGTGCCCAAATGCTTTCTGCAAAGCCACCAACATGGGATCAAATTAGTAAAATTTTCTGGAAGGGGGACGGAGGAGAGAAGAGGGCTGGAGGTTTATTCCCTTCTGTGCCATTCTCCACTTCCTGCCAGGATGACCCATTTCACAGCCATCAGCCATCACCCTCCCAATCTGCAAAACAGCTGCCAGCGTGCTCAGAAAACCCCAACCCTCTCCTGCACCCACTGAGAGCAGGGAAGCGCACTCCAGAAGAGTTTCCTCTCCCAGTATAAATAGGAGGCGTGACTCCTGAACCCCAAACACTTTGATCAGACCTGAAATTCAGACCTGTGGCACTTGAAAGCATCACGCACACATTACTGAAAAACTGGGACAGATTCCCGTATCAATGGAAGCCAATTTCAGAATGAAAACATTTGCATGGTATGCAACAGACAGAAGCTTATTTGCATCGGTTTAGATGATGGAGAGGACCAACATTTTAATACCAGAGGTCCCAAGGATGTCCAGGCCGTAAAGTTTCCTGCTGGAGGGATCCTGGGGATGGCTGGTTTGCCCCCGTGTGAGCCGAGCGTTGGCCTGGATCGGCCGTTAGATAGAAAATCACAGGAGCCCTCCGTGAAAGATATTAGGAGGGTGAGTACCTGGAGGAGGGCCTTCTCTGTGGTGGCGCCCAACTTATGGAACGCGCTCCCCAGAGAGGTCCGCCTGGTGCCGTCGTCATTTGCTTTTCGGCGGCAGGCCAAGACCTTTTCATTTAAATGTTATTTTAATTGTTGATTTTATTTATTGATTTTAAAAAATTTTGCCAGGATGTCTCCAGTATTTTATGCATTTCTATTGACTGTCTTTCTTTATGGATTGGAAGCTGCCCCGAGGCTTATGCGAATGGAGCGGCATACAAGTT